ATAATATATATGTAGTCAAATAATGATTTTGACACTCTCAAATTCTTTTCTATATAGCCATACACAAGAAAAAGCATGGGGATGACTTGTTTACACAGTGGCCCTTATGTGGATGAGGTGATCATGGCCTGCTGGCCAGAGTCTCTGTTCTAGAGCCCCAGGATGCCAGTCTGAGACTGGGGGATTTGTCCTGCAGGCCCAGGTAGAGAACTGCAGTTTCTGGAACATGCACTCAGCATTGCCTGTTCTTTCCAGAGCTTGCTCCAGGCAGTGGTCTCCTTAGAACTGGAAGCTCTTGGTGAAAATCAGCAAGGTATATTTTAGGCCAAAGATGTGTCCCAAAGCAGGTTCTATTGAGAATTCCACAAAACATATACTTCTGCTTGCTTTTCTGCCTAATTTCTATGCTTCAGCGTTGGCCCCATTCCCTGGATAGCTAGCTTTTCTGCTTTCTTGGGCATGGGAAATAAGGTAACGAAACAACAGGAGTCCCCAGAGAGGTAACCATGGATCCTCTGTAACAAGCAGAGCAGCAAGGAGCTTAGTAAAGCTTCTGCAAGGGCGGCCTTTGACCTGTTGACTCCAGGCCTTGTACCATTCAAGCAGAAGGGGCACTGATGCAAGAATGGGCCCTCAGACCTTTTTCTCTTTCAGCACTTCAGTCTGCTTAGAATATCACCCAACATATTGCTCTACCTGATGAAATCCTATCATTTCCTGTCCTACTTTTATACCAGGCCCTCTGAAATGCTGACTCTGATAAGCAGGAGTTCTTTATCTTAACTGCAAAGCAGAACCTTCTATGGGTGTTTTCAGACACAGTGTCTGAGGCCTACCCATGAAGGTTGTGGCCTCTGGTCTGGGCACAGGAACATTTCTCTAGGCAAATGTATGTAGTCTAATAATCACATGCAGGCTCAGTTCAGCTCTCCTGCTCCTAATTGAAAACTCTGTTAGACTCTACCTGTGGTATCTATTCTAGATGTGTCCTGTGCCACTTAAGTCATTTTTTACTATATATAAAAAAAAACACATTTATTTGTGCTGTGGAGGGGACATGCTTATGCCATGCTGTCTATATGGAGGTCCAGGACAACTCACAGGATTTGGGTCTCTCCTTCTAACACGTGAGTCACTGGGACCTAACTGAACCTGCCAGGTTTGACTGTCAATCACCTTTACCCACTGACCCATTTTGCCAGTCCTGTTTCTGTTTTAAGCCAGTTTCTTGTGAGTAAATTAGTACTACTCTAAGATTTCTAAGACCAGGGACCACCTAGTGACTCAGAATCATGATGGAGCCTTGCCCATTAGAAGAGTAATGGGCATACGTCAGAGTTCTAGAATGTAGAAAGACTCAATAGCAAAGGAGCCTTCTGACAGTTGCCAGAAGCAGGGCGGGAGGAAAACCCATAAATTCCATAAAGACCAAATTAAGGCTAAGCCAAGACTGAATCAAAATAGTTTCCATGAGACTGCCTGGTCAATATAACATGAAGAGCTAATGGCTTGTTAAAACCAACCCCAGCTACCTTGTCACGATCCCAAAGGCTGATCTGTCCTTACAGGAAGATGTTACCGGTTTGCAAGGGTTCTATTCAAACTAATGTGGGTGAGGGAGATTCCCATGGCATTCATTTTAATCAGCTTTTACTCTCCCCAATCCCCCTTCTCATTTCCCATGAAGCAAGCTTTCTAAAAGGGTTTCAGTTTTTTTCAAGCTTACTAATGACAACAACAAAACTTTCTGACCGAAATACAGCTAACTGCTTAGGAGACAAGGGTGGAACTCATTTCCTTAAACCTCGTCTGGGTCTCCACATTGGTACTACAACGCCTCAGTCACTCATTCTGGGGAGCATTTCCTGAGTGCTCCTCATGTGCAAATACTAAGTCCCTATCCATGATTCAAGAACCTTCCAGGCCTGGAGGCAAAGGGACAGGCAGAAATACCCTCTAAGACAAGGCCCAGATGGGCCACACAGTTTCTGGAAAGCAGGGTCGCTCAAGCATGCAGCATCAGGACCATCTACCCCACACCCAGGCTCAGAAGGCAACCCTACCCCACAGGGGCTGATTAAAGTTCAGAGCACCAACACCGAGACACCGATCCTGGGCACAGCAGCTGCTGGACCATAGCCTGCACCGGCGGTTTCCCTTCCCCTGTCCTGTCCTGAACTCTGGAGGCCTCGCCAACTTCAACCCCTATTAAAGCACCCCTTAAACTCTACGTTAAAGTTCGTGCAAATGAAGATGGTGGGGCTCGAAGGACTCGAATGTTGGGGGGAATCCCATTTAGCACCCGCAGTGCCCCGGTGCACCGGGAGCACTGGGCCGACGTGCTACGCCGCAGCAGCCAGCGCCGGAGGGCGGCGGCTGTCTGTCCACCTGCCGGGCCCGCACAATGGACCCCATAGGACCCTGGCTGTCTGCGCTGGCTCCGGCGCGCCCAGGGACACACCCAACCTCGAGGACGCCCCGAAAGCAACATCTGCGGCAACAGGCGCAGACGGTCCCGGAGCCGGCAGGTCCCGGCGGCAGGCAGGGAGGGTCTCGGAGGCCCCAGGTCGGGGCGCTGCCCGCTGACAGTGCGGGCACACGGGCAAGGATGGCAAACCTCAGAGCCCGGAGCTAGCGCGCGAGTGACGGGTCCCGGGGACACTCACCGACCCTCAGCGCCGGGCTGGCGGCGGTCGGCGCAGCTCTCTCGCCAGGCTCCCTCCCTCAGATGCCCGGTTTCGCTCCAGCCTCGCAGGGGCGGCTGCGGCCGGCGCCGACAGCTTGAGGCCGCCCTGCAAGGAGGCAGCGCCTGCGACAGGCGCGGGTGGAAGGGCGCACCAGGAAGCTCGGGCTCCTGGAGGGGGCGCGTCGGAGCGCGCGTGCGCAGTGGACCACCCCTGCAGGTGCCCCGGGTTTGCTCCGGGCCGGCTCGGCCTCGCCTCGGCTCTGGATTCGGCGTTTGCGCACTGCCTCGCACGGGCGGCCCAGCTCCGACAGAGGGCGCTCCACGTCGAGAGAGCACCCACCCCCCCTTCCAGTTCAACGTTCCGGATGCTGCGCCTGCGTGGTGCTGCGCGCAGGTCGCACCTCCGGTGGGCGGCGCGGGGCTGTGCCGAGCGTGCGTGCTGGGTTGCCCCTGCGGGTTTTCTCCACACGCCCGCGGCTGGTCGGCGTCCAGCGGGGGCCGTCAGTCTGGGCGTCTGAGCCCCGGGCTCGCGGGCCTGGGGCTAACCTCTGGACAAACGTGTTTCGAAGCAGTTGAGGCTGTAACGTCAAGAATTTCACTCTGGCAGCGGGTTTTGCTCTTTCGGTTCCTCTCTCCCCTCAGGGCCCTCTCCCCACCTCGCTCCCGTCACGAGGGGGAGGTGGCATTTTCTGCTCTGGCCTGAGCAGAAGGAACTCAGGCCCTGGCGGGGTTAGTTAGGTCAAGGAGAGCTTGCAGGGGTCACAGCCCACAGCGTAAACAGAAGAGTCCCGGGGAGGGCGGGAGAGTCACCACCCTGCCCGGCGGCACCTCGGGGAGAACCTCGTCGGGATGGGAGCGGGTTATCTGGCATCTGGGTCCCCTCGGGCAGAAGTCTGGGGCGTCGGGGTCCCTTCGGCCAGGAGACTGGGGCGATGGGGTCTCTTCGGGCAGTGGACAGGCCCGGAGGCGTTCTCAGGCGGGAGGGTGGGGGGACCCCGAGCCCCCTCGCGCCCCCGGACCGTCCTGCCCGGCGCCGGCAGGGTGGAGGGCGGTGGCACCCCAGGTTCCTGGGGCCAGGCCTGTGCAGCCACGCGGCGGCCCGGAGGAGTGGGTCGCGGGGCCAACAGTCGTCGCGGGCGGTCCTGCGGGTCCCCGAGCGCCCGCGGCCATCGGCTAGGCGCCGGCGGTGACACTAGCGCAGCCCTCCCCGGCTTCCGGGCTGCGGTGAGCCGGCCGCGGCAGACACCAGATCGGCTGGGCCATAAGGTAACCCCGGGGTCGTGACTTCCGAGCCGATGCCAGCCTCACTGTGGCCCTAACCTCACAACCTCTCGCTCCCCGGGGTCCAGTTTGGTTAACCCAGAAGATGGGCTCCCTGAGGAAAGAGTCCTTGCCCGGCACATGGTCAGTTCCCTGGGCTCCTAGAACCCCTGGTACAGGGTACAGCTCTAATCAAGTGTGCCGAAGGTCTTGAATCCTTCACTAGTGTATTTAAGTCATTTTACTTTTCAGAATTTTAATTTCCTGTTCCTAAAATTGAAATGGTAACAATAGCAAATTCAAAGCTTGTTGTTCCCTCCCACCTACCCTTTTTTAAAAAAAATGTAAAATGGGAAAACTTCATGTTTAAGTGATTATCTTTATGCCTGCCAATTAAATGGTAGTGTGATGCCGTCTGTACTGGGCATGCGGGGCGCGCCGGGGGAGGGGGCAATTAAAGCAAGGTGGGGATTTGGATTATCAGTGTGCTGAAGACATCTCCAAAACACTTTGCTCCGACATTACTTCAAACCGAAATGTCTTTCCCATTCTCTGCTTCGTGCCAAAAAGTGTGTAAACCTGGCTGACTGGAACTTTACTTCAACCTGATTCTTCCTTAATCGCTTTTCCTTCAAAACAGTACTTGCCATTTCCAATTTAAATTGATTAAAGCTTCCAACTGTTTAATCCTAATCCTAGTTCTGCAAATCTAGGAGCAGAGCTGGGTGACTTAGGATTTCCCTTAAGTAAAGATGAAGCATTGATGAAGAATGTTCCTCAGAGTCTACCATCCCCTTTCCATGCCATTTGTTCAGTAAATATGCTGCTAATAATTTTTACATGTTTATGAAAATATGTAGATTTGTCTATAGATGTAAATTTGACATGATATTTGCATCTCTCTCTTGTGCTTGGAAAATTCTTGATTATTGAGTGTATCTTGCTTTAAAGTAGTTTTTTTTTTTTTTTTTTTTTTTTTTTTGGGGGGTTGGATTTTTTTGAGTTTTTTTTTTTTTTTTCTATCTTGCCTTAAACTTTTTTTTTTTTTTTTTTTTTTTTTTTTTAGGAGAGGTAGGAATTACATGAGGTCTCACTATATAGCTCAAGCTAGCCTCAAACTCATGGTAATTTTGTTTTTGTGTGTGTGTTTTTAAAATTTCCTATATGTATTTTGATACTATATAGGTTAGACTGGACTGAAATTCACTATGTAGTCTAGGCTGCCCTCAGACTTTCAGTCCTCTTGTAATCTCAGCCTGGTGAGTGCGGAGATTACAGACAGGTAAGGGTTACTATAGGAAGGGCCTCATTTCCCCACTCCCCTTACTTTTCAAGACAAGACCTCACTATGTAGCTCTGGTTGGTCTGAAACTCTCTATGTTGACCAGGCTGGCTTTAAACTCACAGAGTTCCACCTGCCTCTGTCTCTCAGTTGCTGAGATTAAAAGTGTGTGCCACCAACTTGTCTAGCCTTGTCTAGCCTCAATAGAAGAAGATGTTCTTAGTCTTACTGCAACTTGATATGCCAAGGAGGGTTGATATTCATGGGAGGCCTCCTCTTTTCTGAGGAGAAGGAAAGGAGGTATGGATGAGTAGGAGGGGAGGGAAGAGGGAGGGAGGAAAGGGGAGCTGCAGTCAGGATGTAAAGTGAACAAATAATTAATTTTTTAAAAAGTGTGTGCCACCATTCCTGGCCCCCTCCTTGTTTTGGTCCCATGTAGGCCAGGCTAGTCTCAAACTCACTATACGGGAGGATGACTTTGAATCTACCTGTGCCTCTTGAGTACTGGGAAGGGTGCTGAATTTTGTTAATTACCTTTTCTACATCTTTTGAGATAATCATGTGAGACATTTGTTGTTGCTATCATTCTATTAATGTGAAATATTGTGTTGATTGATTTTGTTTTGTTGAGTTCCTCTGTATATCCTTGCCTGTCTTGGACTTGATTTGTAGACCAGGCTGGCCTTGAGCTCACAGAGATCTGCCTGCTTCTGTCTCCCCAAATGCTGGGATTACAGGTGTGTGTCACCAAGCCCGGCTGATTGATTTTCCTATGTTGTACCACCTACCAAATCCTAGGATAAATCTCCTTTGGTTGTGGTATGTGATCATCTTAATGTATTTCATAGTTTGGATGCAGTTTGTCTCCCAAGTGGTAGGTGTGGTGATGTTAAGGTGATAGTGCCTTTAAAAGGTGGGGCCCGACAATGAGTCCTCAGGCCCTGGGAGACACTTGGAAAAGAGAACACAGTTCTTGTGGGGCCTCAGTTCACAGTCAGTCTTAGATACACATTTTTATTTCAATGTGTTTTCTCACCATTGTGGTAGAATCTGCTGTGGGTTGATGAAGCCACAATGACCACTGCCAGAGCTGGGTGCCATGTTGGAATTTCAGTCTCCAAAACTGTAAACCTCTTTTTTTTTTTTTTTCCATAAATACTTACTCTCATGTATTTCATTAGAGTTATAGAGAACCAGTATGATGATTTGAGAGTTTTTTGTTTGTTTGTTTGTTTTTGTTTGCTTATTTGGTTGGTTTTTGTTTTTAGAGACAGGGTTTCTCTGTGTAGGCCTGGTTGTCCTGGAACTCACCAGGTTGGCCTCAAACTCAGAGATCCACCTGTCTCTGCAGTGTTAAAGGCGTGTGCCACTACTCCCCAGCTATTTTTTGTTTATTTGTTTGTTTTTTTAATCAAGTGTAACTGGATATGGTGGCACTTTCTAAATACTGTATCTAATTTTTTAATATTTATTTTATTATTTATTTATGTGTATTTGTGTGTCTGGTCTACAAAGCCAGGAAAGCCAAGGCTATACAGAGAAACCCTATCTTGAAAAACAAAACAAAACAAAACAAACAAAAAAATTGAGGTGAGTGGTGACAGGTGTCAAATTCTGGAAATATTTCAAAGGCTGGACCAATAGGTTTGAGACAGTCTGAATTTAGGCTTCAAAAGTGAAGGCAATAATAACCTTTAACTAAAGATTGGAATTGATATAATCTGAGGTGAAGAAGACCATAGGATGATTTGTTTTAGGAGGACTATCAGTAGGCCAGGTCAGTTTTGAGATAAAACACAGTGAGGTGGGGACAGATATTTTAATATTTGGGAAAAGAGCTTGAGGTAAAGTCCAGGCTAGAGAAATCAAAGTAGACATTGACTGAATGTACATGTGTCCTATCAAGGCTAAGTGAGGTCACCTGAGGAGTGAGTGTTGTTGGCATGAAAAGGAGTCTAGGAGACTGAGCCCTGTAGCTCCTTAATGTTTACAGGCTGATGAGAGGAGGAAGAATCAGCCCCAAAAGACTGAGAAGGAATGACAGCAGAAAAGAAAGTAATTTGACAGTGTTCTGAAAGCCCACAGGAAGAAAGTTAATAAAGGATGAAAAGAATACGTCTGTTTTTATTTGTTTGTTTGTTTGTTTGTTTGTTTTCAAGACAGGGTCTCACTTTGTGGCACTGGCTGTCCTAGAATTCACTGTCTAGACGAGGCTGGCCTTGAACCTACAACAATCCACCTGCCTCTGCCTGCTGACGGATGGGATCAAAGGCATGTACCACTATGCCCTGCTGAAAGAATGCTTCTTAACATTTTGTGTTATACATAACGTTTTCTCAATTTGTTTCCTGACTAGTGGTGAGCCTCTTCTTCAGCTGGGAAAAAAAAAATGGCAGTGCTCAAGAAGTTAAAGCTTCTTCTCTGGAAGAATTTCCTCTTGAAGGTATGGGCATGCTTATCTGAGGGGAAGACGTGGTTCTCAAGAGCAGCCGTGTGCTTAGGTCAAATAAGTTAGTCTTTGTTTCTCTTCCTGTTGCTGTGATTAAAAAAAAAGAAAAGAAAAAGAAAAAAAAAAACAGGACAAAAGTAACTTAAGGGGGAAAGGTTTATTCTGGCTCACAGTTCAAGGCAGAGTTATTATGGTGGAAAGTCACTGTGTCAGGAACTTGTAGCTGGTGGTCACGTCACACCCATGGTCAGGAAGCAGAGGAAGTGGGTGCATACCGTTGTTCTTTCCCCTTTCCCCACCACACAGTCTGAGATCCTAGCTAGGGAATGGCACCACTCACAGTAAGCCAGGCTCTTCTCAGCTCAGTTACAAACGGTAATCCCACAGGCATGCCCAGAGGCCCATCTCCCAAGTCATTTTAGATTCTGTCAAATTGATGTCACAATCACTGATAACGAGTTGAAAAACAACTCAGTACTTCATGTGTAAAAAACTGTTCCCAAAGTAATTCTGTTAACACTCATTGTTGAATGCAACTCTTCTCATTGACTTTTAGGTATTGATAGTATAGAAGAGCTAGATGCAGAAGCCCAGCTAGCTCTCATTCTGTCTTTTCCCCTTTTCTGTGTTTTGTGTAGGGAGGCAAGGAGAAATGAAAAATGATTTTGGTGGGGGTTTTGTTTGTTCATTTATTTGTTTCTGTTTTTGTTTTTTGAGGTGGGGGGTCTCATATATCAAAGGATGGGCTCCATCTGCCTAAGGAGCCAAGGATGACCTTGAATTTCTGATCTTTCTGCCTTCTAACCTCTTAAGTGCTAGGATTACAGATATGGATCACCACATTTGATTTATTCAACAATGGGATCGTGTTTCATGTATGCTAAGAAAGTACTAAGAAGGTCTCTCCAGCCTCAGGGTTTTAAGCATAAGAACACTTGCCAGTAGACATTTACCCTTAAGTTTTGTTTGTGATTAACATACAGCTGTTGTTTCTGTTTTAGAAGCGGAAGACCCTGATAACATTCCTGGAAATGGTGATGCCGTTACTATTTTCTACAATTGTATTGTATTTTCGTTTCAATAGTACACCAAGAAACAGATTAGCTACTTACTACCAATCAATTGATATCAGTCTACTGCCAGTATATTTCAATAACTACCCTCTGAAAAGTAAATTTCAGTTGGTTTATATCCCTTCCGAAAGCGAAACTTTGAAAGCTGTTACTGAAATGGTGGAAAAATCCTTTGCTGTTGACTTTAAAGGTTAGATATGGGATAGGGAGGGCATTTCAGTTTTTTGGATGCACTGAAATGCTTTATTACATTACTTATCGTGGGTGTGAGTATAGGTGTGTGCATGTGAACATGCCATGGTGCAGGAGTGAGTGGGAGGTGGAGGACAACTTGCCGGAGTTATTTCTTTCCTTCTACCCGTGGGTCCTGGGATTGAACTCAGGTTGTCAAGTTTGCTGACATCATCTTGCCATCCTGGGAGGTCATTTTAGAAAAAGATGTGACTGTCTGCACGAGACCAAGCCAGTCAATATTCTATTTGGTGGGGAAGGGCCTCAATAGCTCCACCCCAAAAGCTCCAACTAAGGAGCTAAGGACAATCGGTAGATTTTAAGGGAAGGAGAGTCAGGTTTATTTTATTTTATTTAAAGTGTGTGGCCTCTACCCTGGTGTAGTGGCCCACATCTTTAATTCCAGCACTCTGGAGGCAGAGGTAAGTAGATCTCAGTGAGGCCAGCCTAGTCTACATAATGAGCTCCAGAACAACTGAGCTACATCATTAGACTCTGTCTCAAGAAGAAGAGGAGGAAGAGGAAGGAAGAAGGAAGGAGAAGAAAAAGAAGAAGAACAAGAAGAAGAAGAGGAAGAAGAAGAAGAGGAGGAAGGAAGAAGGAAGGGGAAGAAAAGGAGGAGGAGGAGGAGGGCTCCTAATACGGTAACTTTACTCCAGTGGATCGAGCCATACTCAGTAGAATATGGACAATATAAATTGGATTTAATGGGTTATTAAAAAACTGATCAAACAAAACAAAACAAAAAAACTGATCTAGTCGGGTGTGGTGGCACATGCCTGTAATCCTAGCACTCGGGGAGGCAGAGGCAGGTGGATCTCTGTGAGTTTGAGGCCAGCCTGGTCTACAAAGTGAGTCCAAGACAGCCAAGGCTACACGGAGAAATCCTGTCTCAAAACAAACAAACAAACAAATCCAACATTGGATAGTATGGAGGTAGGGTGGATCTGGAAGACATTGGGGAAGGAGGGGGAATGAATATGATTAAATACAACGTATGAAATTCTCAAAGAATTAATAAAAATATAGTTTTTAAACCCAGAAGAATTTAACCTAGAAGAATATAACATAGAAATTCTATTAAAAATGTTTGATATTTTTTGTTTGCTTTTTTGAGACAGGGTCTGTCTACCATGTAGCCCTGGCTGCCCTGGTACTTGATATGTAGACTAGGCTGGCCTTGAACACCTACCTGCCTCTATCTCTTAAGTCCTAGGAATTTTGGTACATCATCACACCCAGTGAAAAAAATTTAAAAACAGAAAGAAACCTAAATATGCTAAAATAATAAAAAATCATCAATTAATATGTATACCCTTCTTATCCTTTTTCTAATTATGCAAATATATAAAATAGTGTTTGCTATATGAGTAATTTCATTGCCTTTTATCTATAATTTCATGAAAATATTTTCAATTTTTAAAGTAATTCTCAAATAAAAATGTCTAAATGAAGGAAAGAAATATCAGTGAAGGCCATAGATTGCTTTTGATAAAAACGTGCATCATACAAAAGGACACTGAACTGTGGTTTTCATAGCCTTCCAAAGAAGAAGAAAAGAAAAACTTCAGGGCTGTTTAATTGTGTGCTTAGTAGGCAACCATCTCCCTCTATAGTCCAGGCTGGGCTTGAACTGAGAGGCCCGCCCGTCTCCTAAGTACCAGCATTAAATGTGTGTGTTACAGCCGCCTGGCTGAAGATTATGCCTGTTAGCTGATCTTATTTCTTGTGTTTTGCACTCCTGCCCACATGTTTGCGGAATGACTGAGTGAGTGGTTGGAGAAAAAAGCTGGAATATGAAATCTCCTTAGGTAGATGGGTGATGGCAACACTTGCTTTTGTGCCTGACTATAATTCACTGACTGGATTTTTCCTTAGTTCTAGGCTTTCCTTCAGTGCCTTTCTTTGAAAACTATATAATTAATGATCCCAACTCTTTCTACGTACTGGTGGGAATTGTTTTCCACCATAGCTTCAATACCAGCAATGAACCTTTGCCACTGGTGGTAAGAAAATTTTTCCTATAACAATCTTACTAAGTGACCACAACCCGAGTACCAGTATAATCTGGCTGATTTACCCTCAGCTTTCTTCTATGGTAGCGTTGTTGTTTTATTTTCAGAGGAAACGAATGAATATCCCAAATTCATATTTTACAACCCACTCCGTTACTGTTTTCAGACTGGTTAAAAGAAATATGGTCTGAGTTGAGTCTCTGTCCTCAGTATAGGATGGGGTGTGTTCAACTGCTCCATTAACAGAAGCTCACTCCACCATTTGTCAGCAGAAACTTGGATCCCAGCTCCGCAATTTAGCAGCTGTATATATAACTTTGGGAGAGTTACCAACATTTCTGAACAGATCTCTTGTTTCATTACTGATGTAGTTGAGTTTTAGTGCCTGGCTTATGAGTTGGTTTTTAGGTTTATGTGTGTCAAGTGCTTAAAACAGAGCAGTTGGGTAGATGGAGAGCATGAATTTTCCAGTTGAATTAGTTAACTGTCATTACTACTCATTTCACTCTTGCGGTTTGGTAGCTCTTCGTGTGTGTTTAACAAAAAAGCAGAATGTTAAACAAGAATATTTGATTTATGTTTTGTAATGGGTAAAGCACTCATATGTGGCTTTTGTGCTATGCAGGTTGTTTAATGACTTTTAGAACTTGCACTGTGATTAATAAAAAACAAATCCCAACAATATCTTACAAGCATGTGCTAATGTCACATACATGTCAGGTACCATGTTATGTAACCCTACCAGCAGCTAATGGCTCCGAAGCTGTTATTATCACCCCATTTCACTGTGAGGAAGCAGAGGCATAATGGTTAAGTGAGATTAAGTAACTCTCCCAGGGTGACAGCACTTCAGTAAGAAATTTGCAGCTGAGGTCTAGGTGGCCTGGTTCCAGAGTATTCTACAGTCCATTGCTCTTTCCCCAGATGGTCACCGGGATAATTTGCAGAGAAATACAGGGAAGACCATTGTGTGGTGGGAAGAGAAACACCTGCCTGTGAGGGCCTTTCCTCTAGTTACTGTTAGGGCCAACCAGTTCTGCTGTCCCGTAGCATTGCTGAGTTCCAGGAGCTCATGGCCAAATGTTCTCTCCTTGTCTCTCATAGGTTAAATATGAGTTGCGCTTTAGTTATATACAGAGGAACTTTGTCTCACCGCTGAAGCATTTATTTTTTCAAGAGGACATAGAAGGCTGGTGCACAGCCTTACTTTACCCTCCTAATCCAAGACAAGAACCCCGGGAATTTCCATACGCTGATGGGGGAAACCCTGGTGAGGAGTCTTTGAAGCCTGTAACATTACCATGAACGGGGCCACTTTTGCCCTGTGGCACATATTTATGATACTATTTGTGATACGGTTTTGCTAACTGAATAATCACTAAGATTAGCCTTTCAGTAGAGGTCCAAGGAGCTGCCTTTGGAAAACGTAGCAGTCAATAAAACGTTTGTATTCCAGTGTAAGTTAAAACAGCAGGTATGTACTTTGATTGTTTATAATGACGTTGAATTGCTTGAAAAAATGGAAGCATTTTACAAGCACAAGGGGTAGGAATTTCCTGATTGATTTTGCTTTTTAAAGTATGTTTGCTATCATTCTCTATAAACCACAACTTAAGTGGCTTTCTTTAACTTGTTAAAATGCATATAAAATTAATGACTCTCTTCCTTCCTTCCTTCCTTCCTTCCTTCCTTCCTTCCTTCCTTCCTTCCTTCCTTCCTTCCTTCCTGGGGTGTACCTCAGAGTACTTGCCCAGCATGCACAGAACAGTTCAGTCTCTGGCCCTGCCAAAACAAGCACGTGCTGCTGATTGTTAGGGATGTCATGTGAATTCATGTTAGTAGAATGGTATCTTCCAAGGTTACTGCTATGAAAGGCATCCCGCTTTCTGCCACACTAGTCTCTCTGCCTGATGGCATGGTTATGACCAGAACCCAGGCAGGTAATTTGGCAAACACTAATGCATTTACCTTGAGCACAGCTCCCTGTAGCTCTCAAGTAACCTGTTGAGAACCTAATGACTTTACCTATATTTCCTGAGCAGCACACATGTAGGGCCAGAGTGGAACCGTAACTAGTATAACAAGAATGGCCAGTTATTTAGGGAAGACATAACCATCATCATGAAAGAAACATGATTTAGAGTTTATGCATATATAATGTCTATGTGACCTCCCTTTTGTACTTGTAAGTAGCACCTTTATTTTTCTGCCCCCTCCTTAAGCCCTCCAATTTTTGGGGACCAAACTCAATAGGCTTACACTCTACTACTGAGCTGTACCTCTAGCCCTGTTGTGTTTGTTTTCTTTTCCAGTACTGGGGAGAGAGCTCAGTCTCTGTGTAGTCTCACATAGACTAGCAAGTGGTCTATTACCAAGCTGCCTCCTAAGATCTGTCCTGTTATTTTACCTCCTCTCTGTCTGTCTCTGTCTCTCTGTCTCTGTCTCTCTGTCTCTCTCTCTCTCTCTCGTCTGAGCATGGTGTCATGGAACCCAAGCTGACCTCAAACTTACTGCGAAGGCAAGGATAACCTTGAATTATTGTTGCTCCTGCTGCTACCTTCCAAGTACTGGGATTGCAAGATTAGGTCATCACACCCAGTATGTTCTATTGTTTTGGACACCCGTCCTGTTCAACAAATGTTCCATTTATCTGTGTTTAACCTGCCTCATCAACTGCCCACTAAACACACTTCTTGTAGTTTCTATTTTCCTTTTAATTTGAGAAGGGGGAGCAGACAGCTTCTGCACTGCTTCAGGGTCCCCTGCCTGCCTGCCTGTGTCCTTTTAAAGAATCTGCTCCTGCTTTGGAGAACACCTCCCAGCTCTGCCTTTTGGGTTCCTGAATTTGGAGCTAGGGAGATAGTTTGGTTGGTTTAGTGCTTCTGCACAAGCTGGGAACTGGAGTTCAGTCTCCAGGACTCATGTAAAAGTGGGGTGTGATAGCACGTGTTCATAGTCTCGGCATCAGAGGCTGATTCCCGAGGTCAGCCTAACCCAATTAATGATGACCAGATCCCAGTGAGAGACCCTGTGTCAATAACAAGGCTCTTCAGGAACAACACTGAAGCTTGGCCTCTTACCTTCCACACGCATGGGGGAGGTGGTGGCAGTGGAGGTAGGAAGGTGGGGGGAAGTTCTGAATATGTGATCCCTGCATTGGCTAACACTTCATTTGATTTTACTTGCTCTTTCTGAATCTTTAGATCTCTCTTTGGTTCTAATTCCATCCACCTTGCCCAACCACAACTGGCAGGAGAACTCTAGTTGCCTCTTCTTTCAGATCTCATGGTTTTAGCTGGCTCTGCCAGGCTCTACTCTTTTGTTTCCTACTCTGGAATCATACCCCAAGGAAGTGTTCTTCTCCTCCCTGTTTTGCACAGGGTAAGCAGATAACATTAAAATCAGAAGGTGAGGTTCCTAGGAGCTCCTATATCCTAAGGGATAACATATGGCTCTGAAGCTGGCTTGTGACTCCCAGATATCATAATATTTCTTTTTAGGAAGCTCTGCCAACTTTCTGGAACTTTCCAGTTAAGAGTTAAGGAGAGTTTTTCTTAGCATCTGCTTTCTGTCATCATGTCTGCTATGGAAAGGAACATAACTGTATCTAACAGTGAAGACATCCCTCTTGGCACCCATTTTCCCTGGACCTGCCCATACCATGACAGCCCCCAGTTTCCTCTCTGGCAATTTCAGACTTATGGAGGAATAATGGCACATCACTGAGATGCTCTTTCCTTCACACGAGGCAACATGTTCCTGAGTGAGGGTCCAGGAGCCAATTCTCACATGAAGGATACATGCACTCCAATTCATTTTAGGTTTCTTGGTTTCCTTATTTTTGTGCTAGAGGTTGAACATGAACATCAATTAAGCAACTAACTCTTCCAAAATTGATCAGAAACACCTCATTGTGGGACAACCATACAACTCTCTTGAAGCCATGGACCTGCATGCCCACCAACTGGAATCCAGTTTGAGCACTCAAGCACTCAGTCTGATTCTAGAAAATATCCTATAATTGTTTAATGAAAACACTCCTACAAAACAAACGAGTACATAACAATACCCAGGACTCAGCACCAGCAATCTGTCTTTCCCTTTTCTGGTTTGACAGATCTGGACGTCTGCCTATGTCCAGACAATGGGACATAATGGTCACCTCTTCTACAGGGCTACTATACCCCTCCCGTAAGGCTGGTTGCCCTTGCTTAGAACTAGAGCTCTGGGGATCCTTGCCACACAATCTTTTTTTTAGATTTATTTTATTTATTACCTATACAGTGTTCGGCCTGCATGCCAGCAGGGAACACCACATCGTATATGGTTGTGAGGCACCATGTGGTTGCTAGGAATTAACTCAGGACCTCTGGAAGAGCAACCAGTGCTCTCTTAACCTCTGAGACATCGCTCCAGCCCACACACAATATTATTTTTTTTTTAATTGAAAGCTGGTCCTGGCACACCAATTACACTGCTGAAATGAGGGTCGCTTGTGATAAGGACAGTGTTTGTAGTTCGCCAGCAAAACACAGAAACTTAACACTTTGGTTATGCAGCAGTCAACACAATCAGGAAGTCTGTGTCTTCCAAGTGCTTTGACTTTAACCACCCTGTATCTACTGGATAATCAATAATACTACAGAGCAGGTGCTCTGTCCGCAGAGCCAGAGAATGAAGGGACAAGATGTGTCTCTATCTTGGAAATCCTTGATTAGAACATGTCTTGCTTTTCTGCCAGAACTCACTTTCTGATCATTGCTTCATTCCCATGGCTCTCCAAAGTGGCTCCTCTCTGTCCTCCATATTGTATCATGAGGCCTCTAGGAACACCCTCTGGCTGTTGTCTGTCTTAATGACTAGCCAGGTTCCACCTAAATTTTCAGTCATCTCAGTCTTCAGTCTTTACTCTCTTATGCTTGACATTCTGGTTTCTTGTAGGATACAACAAAGAAGGCTTCCTGGCAATCCAGCACGCAGTAGACAAAGCCATCATGCAGCACCATGCCCCCAGTGCTGCACCCAACATGTTCAAGAATCTCAAAGTCCTGCTGCAAAGATTCCCATTCAGGTCCCATATCCAGGACCCATTCTTAGTGATTCTTCAGAACGAGTTCCCTCTGCTCCTCATGCTCAGCTTCATCTGTGTTGAGCTCATAATCATCAATTCCATCTTACTGGAGAAGGAGAGGAAACAGAAGGTAACAGTCTACAAGTACATGGCTCTGGGGAGGCTGCTAATGAGATGCCACAAGTAGGACTGAGACCCATGCTGGTAGGAGGAGTCTCTACCGCTCAGGTGAATGGGAAATGAGAAATGCTTTTGCGTTTTTAGCCCGTTTGCAGTTTAGGGAGTGCCATCTCTTGTTATATGTTTGCTTTTACACTGCTCAGCCTAGTAGGTCCTACTAGGTTAGCACACTGCTACTAGCAGGGCAGGGAATTTTTATCCACAATTAACTCACTCCCATTTTGTAGGAAGATGATTGGGAAGCATCTTCTAGTGAAATACAACCTAAGACAGGGTTTGCTACCTCTGAGTTGGTCCCAGGACTGGCTTTTCTACTCACTTGCTATGCTCTTCTGTTTGCATAACCGCTATAGCTTCTTTTTCTTACTTTCTTCCCTTTAAAAAGGATCTCATGTTGCTTAGGTTTTTATGTCTCAGGCATAGTCTCATTATGTAGTCAATAGTGACCTGGAACCCACTGTGTAATCCAGGCTGACCCAGAACTCATGATCTTTTTGCTTCAGCCTCCCAAGTGTTAGAAGCACACCAGGCTAAAATGTCCTCACTTTAAATTTTTCTTCTCTTTTTAAAATGGTTTTTTAATTTATGTATTTTATGTATGTGGGTGTTTTCATCTACATGGACATCTGCACACCAGAAGGGGCATTGGATCCTATGGGAATACAGTTAGAGATGGTTGTGAGCCACCATGTGGGAGCTGGGAATTGGGACTCAGAAACTCTGGAAGAGCAGCCAGTGCTCTTAACTACTGAGCCATCTCTCTAGCCCCAAGTTTCTTCTCTTTTTATTGATTCTTACGATTGTATATTAAAACAGCCTGCTATTTTCTCATTGGGCTTTTCTTGACCTCACTGGTGATGTCTGCGGCTAAGAAGGCTGTTTTCCCAGCCTGCTTTGTCTTGTTAGAAGAAACAGAGTGACCAAGGTACGTCTTGAGGCTGCAGTGAGAATGACTCTGATGTGGCAAGATGTCAGAGGCTTCCTTTCTGTTGGGACGGATGACAAGGTGACAAGGGCTAGTAGGGAGATGCTCTAACTTTTACTCACTGAAAAACCACCAGGTATATGACTTCTGGTATGTGACTAGGATACCCATTTAGTTTTACTTGTGTGATGAAATCTGACCTTCCATATTTGTTACTTCAATAACACACTTGTGAAGAAAGCTGGTAGGCATAAAAGTGTCTACATTTTGGTCATTCCTTTCTTCTTTTACACTTGAATCATCATTTCAAATGAATGTTAAGATTGTAGAAGTTAGGCATAATGGCACATGCCTAAAATTCCAATGTTAAATACGCTGTTAGTTCATTTATTTATTGAAAGTAAAACGCCCTGAGAATAAAGTCCAAACTTTTCTGTTTTGTTGTTTTGTTTTTGAGACAAGGACTCAGTATATAGAACCCCTGACTGGCCTGGCACATGCGATATAAACCACACAGGCCTTGTGCTTCTTACAAACTTCCTGCCTCTGTCTCCCAAATACTTGGATTATAAACATAGATTACTGTTCTCTGCTTTAAAGTCTAAACTCCTTACATGTCCTACTTTTATCTCTTAGCAGTTGTTTTTAAATTCAAATGAAATTTATACAATATGTACTCTGCCATAGTTAAACCAAGTATCCATCCCTGTTTTATTCTCTTGCTTTCTAGCTGGATCAGTATCCATTAGCCCCAATAGCTGTGTCTCCCCAACACACACAGCCTGTCATCCTAATCTTCTGGAGTTCAGTAACAGACTCCCAGACTGGAGCTCCTAAGGCCCCTAACTAGACTGGTAACTAGTGACTGGACTCTAACCCTTGGCTCTTTCTCTCTTCTAGGAATATATGTGTATGATGGGATTGGAGAGCTGGATGCACTGGGTTGCTTGGTTCATCACGTTCTTCATTTCTGTCTTAATTGCTGTTTCTGTTATGACCATCCTTTTTTGCACGAAGGTATGCTTTCTTCTTTAGAATATGGTGAGTTATGAATGGATAGGAATGAATCTGGTATGGTGTGAGTGATACAGTTATTGATGATCATTGGCTGAACTTCTGGGGAATTAAGCATTCTCCTTCCTTTTTCACCTTCTCTCACCACTCCCCACTCCACACACTTTTTGTTCTTTTTCTTTTTGAGATAAGAGGCTGATTATGGAGCCCTGGCTTGCCTGAAATTCATGATATAGACCAGATTGACTTTGAATTTGTGTTAATCCTCAATTTTACTTCCAAAGTGCTGGAGATACAGTCTTCTGCCACCATAGCTAATTTAGTATTTAGGAACTTGAGAATCCCACAGTGTATTTTTAGATACTTTAAAACATAAATTTCAGGGCTGGAGAGATGGCTTAGAGGTTAAGAGCACTGGCTGCTCTTCCAGAGGTCCTGAGTTCAATTCCCAGCATCCACATGGTGGCTCCTACCCATCGATAATGAGATCTGGTGCCCTCTTCCAGCTTGCAGGCATGCATGTAGACAGAATACTGTATAATAAATAAATAATAAATCTTTAAACAAACAAACGAACAAACAAAGCATAAATTTCAAGCTGGCACTGTGGTCCACACCTATAATCCCAGCACTTGCAGAGGCAGAGGCAGGCAGATCTCCGTGAGCCTGGTCTACAAAGTGAGTCCAGGACAGTCAAGGCTACACAGAGAAACACTGTCTCAAAAATAAACCCCCCAAAACCCATAAATTTTATACTGTACAATAGTTGAAAATAGGTATTATAAAACATTATTTTACTTCCATGTTATCATGGTTTTTTTATGCTGTCAGTGGAGTTTGATACATTTGCCTGCTTGCATTTAATAACTCACTACTTAGATATATAAAAACTTACCATCTAAATAGTAAAAGTTGTGTCAGTGTGGTGAAAGGTAAGCAAGAAAACCTGGACTAAATAGGAAAATACTTCAAAGGAAATAACCAGAAAGCATTAAAACAGAAGACAAAAGATAACAAAAGGAATACTGAAACTATCCATCATAGTGATAATATGACAGATGAATTGAACCTGCTCAGTGTTAGAACACACGGCTAGTGTATATAAGGCCTTTAGTTCAATACCCAAGATAAACCCCCAAAAGGAAAACATATTCACATTAGATCAAAAATTGAATCCAAACATATTTTCCCTGAAAAAAATAGCCTACTTTACAAATGATAACAGATGGCAGATCAGGTGTCTGCCTTAAAAATCTATGTGTAATTATAAATTAAATATTTTCTACAGTGTTTTGTGGGTACTTCATGCTTTCTTCACATCTGTGGTTGTTTTGTAGATGAGCCATGTGGCTGTGTTCAGGAACAGCAACCCTATCTTGATATTTATTTTTCTAATGTGTTTTGCCATTGCCACAATTTTCTTTGCATTCATGATGAGCACCTTTTTCCATAGAGGTGAGTATTGATGACTTTTTCCTGAAAGCATTGTAATTTCCATTACTTATAGTATATAGTATCATTCCTCCAAGTTTTTCAGTTTTATGGTTATTTCAGCAGTGGGAGAATTCTATTCCCCATTAAAGGCTTGTTAAAACACATTATATATATATATGCATATACATATATACACACATACATATATACACTAAAGTCCTTAAAATAATTTCAAATTGAGGCAGATAATAAGTCTCCATTTATTTATTTTTGTTTATCTGTCTCTCTGTGTATATGCCATGCACATGCTGGTGTTCTGGAGGCCAGACGAGACCGTTGGATTCTGTGAAGCTGAAGTTATGGGTGGTGGTGAGCCACCTGACATGGGTGCTGGGAACCAAACTCAGATCCTCTGAAAGAGCAGCGTCCACCCTTAACTCCTGGGCCATCTCTCCAAGCCCAATAAGTCTCAAGTTAGAAGAAAATAAAAGTGTAAGGTATTTCAGAAAGAGAATCATCCAAATTGTGAAGTCAGGACACCACAGTAAAGTGGTTTCTAAGGACCACAAAAAACTTCCTTTGAATTTGGTCCTGTTGGAGGTCTTATATCTAAAACTGTTTATACATGAATTGATGACTCATAGAGGATAGAAATGATAGGAGGTAGAGTCAAGTCAGAATGCAGAAGAATTGAAGTGCGAGTTACCCTAAGAAAGGTAAAAATAAGAGAAAATGAGCTCAGCATTTGCCCCCGCTCCCCGCTCCAAAAGGGAGTGTTTTCAAGAACTAGAAAGGAAAAATGTGATACAAATGAGACAGCTTATCATCCATATTTGTGAATGTTTTATATCAAATAGCATGCTCTAATCTGTGACTGCTGTTAAATATGGACTCTGCCAACATGGAGAAGGATTCTCTGAAAGTTATATGGGTCTAAACACTACCACCCGATTCAAATTTTGAATCCCTGTCCCCTCCAAAGCTTTATAGCAAGCACAGGAGGGCACTAGTCAAGTCAGGGAACTTAGAACCTATGCATGAAGGGTGCCTGCAATTAAGGTTTAAGAGTGCTCATGGCTGAAGCTTAAAAGTTAAACTTGAGGCCAGGTACAATAAATAAGCTTTTTAGAAACAAAAGGTAACCAGTGAAGTCAGAAACACAAATCATAATAAGAAGAAAGCAATACTGGGGGTAAGGGAGAAATGAAAACAAAAGTAGATCATGTAACCTATCAACACTGGCAATCAGCTGAGGTTTTTTCAACAAATGATGCTGTAATAATAACTGGAAGTCGATCTTCAAAAGAATGCACATGGAGACCCGCATCACATCACACATGAAAACTGACTCAAGCTGGATTTTAAATCTGAATGTAAGTGATAAGCCATATTAAAAGAAAATACAGGGAGCTGGGGGGATGGCCCAGTCAGTGAAGTGCTTTCTACGTAAGCATAATGACCACCTGAGTTCAGTCCCTCAGGATCTGCATGGACAAAGCTGGCTAAGATACATTCCTAATCTCGACTCTGAGGAAGTAGAAAGAGAAGTGTCACTGAGGCCTGCTCCAGGTTCGATGAGAGACCCTGAGTAAAGAGAACAACAGAAGGGAATGATTGCATAAGACACCAGTGTCAGCCTCTGGCCTCCGCATGCATACACACGTAAACCCACATGAACACATACATGCATAAAAACATAAAGGAGTTGAGGTGGGATGGACTGAGGATGTCCAAGTGGGAGTTGAATGGATGAAGTGTGTGTGTGTGTGTGTGTGTGTGTGTGTGTGTGTGTGTGTGTGTGTGATATGATCAAAATACATTAAATACATGTATGGAATTTTCAAAGAATCAGCAAAACTATATTTAAAGATTTATTTATCTCCTTGTTGGGCTCCTGTCCCCTGAATTTGATGTAAATATTACTCATATAAATCACCAAGAATAGGTGAATTTATAAAGACAGAAATTAGATGTGTTGTTGTGCATGTCAAGACACTGGGGAAACAGGAAGTGACTGCTAGTGGTATAGGGTTTCTCTGGGGTGATAAAATGGTCTAAAATTGATTTAGACAGTAACTGCAATTCTGTGACTTCATTAAAGTCTTTGAATTGCTTTAGTACAGAACATGTAAGTTCTATGACTTATTTTTTTAAAGATTTATTTAATTTTATGTTTATAAGTGTTTGGCCTGCATGCATACAAGTATACCAAATGCATGCGTGGTACCCACAGAGGTGAGAAGAAGGTATCGGGTCACCTGGAACTGGAGTTAGGTATGGTTGTAAACCACAGTGTGAATGCAGGGAACTGAACACAGGTCCTCCTCAAGAGGATCAAGAACCCTTAACCAATGCACCATCTCTCTAGCCTATGTGTATTATATTTCTTTTTAAATTCTTATTTATTTATTGTTTTATTAATTACAGTTTATTCACTTTGTATATCAGCTGTAGCCCCCTCCCTTATCCCCTCCCATTCCCACCCTCCCTCCCTCTTTTCCTCTCATGCCCCTCCCCCAGTCCACTGATAGGGGAGGTCCTCCTCCCCTTCCATCTGATCCTAGTTTGTTAGTTCTCTTCAGGACTGGCTTCGTTGTCTTCTTCTGTGGCCTGGTAAGGCTGCTCCCTCCTCCCCATCAAGGGGAGGTGATCAAAGAGCAGGCCACTGAGTTCATGTCGGAGACAGTCCCTGTTCCCATTACTAGGGAACCCACTTGGATACTGAACTGCCATGGGCTACATCTGAGCAGGGGTTCTAGGTTATCTCCACGAATGTCTTTGGTTGGAGAAACAGTCTCAGAAAAGACCCCTGTGCCCAGATTTTTTTTCCTTTCCTTGTGGTGCCCCTCTCCCCTTCAGATCTATCTCTCCCTTCTTTCAAAAGATTCCCTGCACTCAGCCCAAAGTTTGACTTATGAGTCTCAGCATCTGCTTTGATACTCTGCAGGGTAGAGTCTTCCAGAGGCCCTCTGTGGTAGACTCCTGTCCTGTTCCCTGTTTTCTCCCTCTTCTGATGTCTATCCCTTTTGCCTTTTTGAATGATAATTGAGCATCTTACCCAGGGTCCTCCTTCTTGCTTAGCTTCTTTAGGTGTACAATTTTAGTATGACTGTCCTATATTATATGTCTAATACCCACTTATAAGTGAGTATATACCATGAGTGTCTTTCTGCTTCTGGGATACCTCACTCAGGATGGTCTTTTCTAGTTCCCACCATTTGCCTGCAAATTTCATGATTTCCTTGTTTTTAATTGCTGAGTAGTATTCTGTTGTGTAAATGTACCACAGTTTCTGTATCCATTCCTCAACTGAGGGACATCTGGGTTATTTCCAGGTATATTATATTTCAATAAAGTTATTTTGAATATATGGGAAAAAGATATATTATATATACAGTGTTCTGCCTGCATGTATGCCTAAAGGCCAGAAGAGGACACCAGATCTCATTATAGATGGTTATGAGCCACCATATAGTTGCTGGGAATTGAGCTCAGAGCCTCTGAAAGAGCAGCCAGTGTGCTCTTAACCTCTGAGCCATCTCTCTAGCCCCAATAAAACTATTTTTTAAAAAATAAGAGAAAAATCTTCATGATTTTGTGTTTCATGATGACTCCTTAGGACACCAAAAGTGTAGCTGATAAAAGAGACAATTGATAGTTGAATTTCAGAAAACTTAAAAACTTTTGTATATCAAAGTTGCCATCAAGAAAGTGGTGGGCTGGAGAGATGACTCAGAGGTTAAGAACATTTGCTGTTTTCCAAAGATTCTGAGTTCTATTCCCAACAACCACACGGTGCCTCACAACCATCTGTAGTGAGATCTGGTGTCCTTTTCTGGCGTGCAGGTGTACATGCAGACAGAACATTGTATAAATAATAAATAAATTAAAAAAAAAAAAGAAAATGGTGTTGCTGGGCATGGTGGCACATGCCTTTAATCCCAGCACTGAAGAGGCAGAGGCAAGTGAATCTCTGTGTGTTCAAGGCCAGCCTGGTCTACAAATTGAGTTCCAGGTTAGCCAAGGAAACACAGAGAGTCCCCGCTTCCCCCCGTGTCCCCAAAAAGCAAGGCTGTGTCTGTTCAAAGATAATATGGTTTTATATAATAGCTCCATGACATTAAGCAAATTAATGTATTTTGTGTAGCTAAGTTCCGGTTTTCTCCTCTGCAAAATTGGGAGGTTGTAATATTATAAGTTGGTATATATAAAGTACTTGTGGTGTTGGAGGCCTTAAAGATGCTACACAGACTGCTACACAGATCTTCTTTGGAGAAGAGTCAATATAGGTTTTTTGGTTTTGTTTTGTTTGTTTGGGGTTTTGGGTTTTTTGGGGAAATGGTTTTTGTTTGGTTTGGTTTTTCAAGACAGGGTTTCTCTGTGTAGCTTTGGGTGTCCTGGAACTAGCTTGAACTCACAGAGATCGGCCCGCCTCTGCTTTCAAGTGTTGGGATTGACAGCATGAGCTACCACACCTAGTTAATTTCACCTTCTTAAAGTACTGTTAATGTTTTCATCATTCACTAGCAAGAGTGCAAATATAAAAAGAGGTTGCTTCCCTTCTGAAATGCTGAAACAATCAGAGATAGTTTTTCTTTCATGGCAGGGAAACAAGGTGTCCATCACAGTGACTCTCTCACAGACTCTTCCTTTCCCCCTCTGAATCTGCAGCGCATGTGGGGACTGTGGTGGGTGGCATCGTCTTCTTCTTCACCTACCTCCCATACATGTACATCGCTTTCAGTTACCACCAGAGGACCTCTCTTCAAAAGATAGCCTTTTGCCTCTTCTCAAATGTTGCCATGGCAATAGGAGTCCGATTCATCTCTCTGTTTGAAGCAGAAGGTAAGATTTATTTTTCTCAAATTCTGTTTAGGTTCCCTACATGCTTTGCACCAGACAAGGCTGCCCTCCATTTCCAAATACACTTAACTGACATGTTTGTTTCATTTAGTGTTTTAAGCACTTACATTAACAATGTGGGATGCAAAAGAGATATATAATGTGCTTCACAAATCTTACAACATAAGCCGGTGGTGTCACATGTCTTTAGTCCTAATACTTAGGCAGCAGACCATCGAATTTGAGGCCACCTGGTCCAGTGAATTCCACGACAGCCAGGGCTACACAGAGAAACTCTATTGAAAAAACAAAAACAAAAGCAAGCAACCAATCAACCAACCAACCAACCAAAAACCACCTTGCAGCATAGATATAGATATGGAGAGGGAAACTAAAGCATATTAAAGAAAGGTAATTGGAGCTAAACATGTTGGTATGGGCCTGTCCCCAGCTACTTGGAAGGAAGATGACTGCAGGAATCTTACTGGAGCCCAGTAAACAGGAAGATTACCGGCACCCAGAAATCCAGGATAGCATGGGCAACAGAGTAACTTTGTTTGAAAAGAAATTATTAGGAAATTATATTCTCATACAATTTTATAGATATGAAATATATAACTTTATGATTAGAAGCTCAGAAAACATTTTGAATGTTACTGATAATGTAGTTTTCACATGTATTAGTCTTATTGCTTGTGGTGTCCCCTCTTCTACAGGTCTGTCTAGGGGATTTTATTAATCAGCCTTATGTTATTATAAAGAAATATCTGAAATAATTAACTTGGAAAAAGAAAGACTTATTTTGATTTACAGATCCGAAGATTCTAGTCAAAGATTAGGTGGCCTCCTTATGTTGGAACTCAGTTATAAGTGAGTATGTATAGATAAAGAACTCAAGAAGTTAAACACCAACAAACCAAGTAATCCAGTTTAATAATGGGGCACAGAGTTAAACAGAGAATTCTCAATAGAGGACTATTGAATGGCAGAGAAACACTTAAAGAAATGCTCAATGTCCTTAGTCATAAGGGAAATGCAAATCAAAACAATCCTGAGATTTCACCTTACACCCATCAGAATGGATAAGATGAAAAACTCAAGTGACAACACATGCTGGAGAGGATGTGGATAAAGGGGAACGCTCCTCCACTGCTGGTGGGAATGTAAACTGGTACAACCACTTTGGAAATCAATCTGGTGCTTAGAAAATTAGGAATAGTGCTACCTCAAGATCCAGCTATAAAACTACAAGACACACATGGTATATATTTACTTATAAGTGGATATTAGACTTATAATATAGGATAAACATATTAAAATCTATAGTCCTAAAGAAGTTAAACCACAAGGAGGACCCTAGGGAAGATGTTTAATCCTCATTCAGAAGGGCAAACAGGACAGACATGGGAAGTGGGGGAAGACAGGGAATAGGACAGGAACCTACCACAAAGGGCTCTGAAGGACACTACCCAGCAGGGTATCAAAGCAGATGCTGAAACTCATAGCCAAACTTTGGACAGAGTGCAGGGAATCTTGTGGAAGAAGGGGGAGATAGAAAAACCTGGAGAGGACAGGTGCTCCATGAGGAGACCAACAGAGCCAAAACTTATGGGCCCAGGGAGGCCTACAGAGTCTGATAGTAACCAGATGAGGGTTAGGGTTAGGGACCAAGGACCATGCATGGAGAGAACATAGACCCCCCTGCTCAGATATAGCTCAAATATAGGCAGTTCAGTCTCCATGTGGGTTTCCTAGTAAGAGGAACAGGGACTGTCTCTGACATGAACTTGTGGCTGGTTCTTTGATTACCTCCTTGCTGTGGGGTACAGCCTTGCCAGGCCACTAAGGAAAAAGATGCAGCCAGTCCTGATGAGACCTGATAGGCTGGGGTTAAATAGAAGGGGAGGAGGTTCTCCCCTATCAGTGGACTAGGGGAGGGGCAAAGGGAGAGAAGAGGGAGAGAGGGTGGGACTGGGAGGAGATGAGGGAGAGGGCTATAGCTGGGATACAAAGTGAATACATTGTAATAAATAATAAATAAAATTTTTAAGGTTTCAGTCTATGGTTTGTTAGTTCCACAGAGAAAAATAACAAAGCATTGACACTGAAATTAAGATATATAAGAAAAAGGGAAAGACAACGTTAGAGTTCGAGAAGACACATATAACACATTTAGCTAGCAAGCAGCTTATGTTCAGAATGTATAGAGGATACATCCACATCATTAAAAACTTGCTTCTGTAATTTAAAGTAATGAGGCAAAGACACTTGTGGCTTTATGAGGAAAGAGATATGTGGTGCTCTACTTTATTTGGGGTGTTTAGGCCTCAACCTCTCTTCCAACCTCCTACTCCTACATAGGAGAAAGAAGGTTAGTGGGGAGAGGGGGCCCAGACCCTTCTACTTCTCCTGGCTGTTTAGGGTCAGTGGGTTCTTTTAGGGCTCTATACCAATCTCTGTCAACTGCACATGCAGCCAGCGGGCTCCTCCATGCCGCTGCACCCCAAAGTGTTTCCCTTCATCTGTCTGTTCCAAACCGCCACACCGTCCATCTCTCTGGTCTCTCTCAATTAATACCTGCCACACACCAACACTACATGCCACATCTTCTTTTTCTGGGCTCTCAGTTTATATCCTCAGAGCCCTAGACCATGCCCTTCTCCACGTGCTGCACATGGAAGGCCCTTACCAGCTGGCAAAAGCCATGCCCTGGACGAGACAGTTAGCAGGTGTGGACTAAAATCCCACACTTGGATTAAAACAAAAACATATTTACATAACATAACTGAGTTTACAAAGAAACCAAAACTTCCATTCCCGAGACATACAGAAGGCAATAAATATATAGGTGTTGGGAATCGAACCTTGGTTCTCTGGCAAAGCAGCCAGTCCTCTTAACTGCTGAGCCATCCCTCTAACCCTAGTATGTTTCTTTTTAAAAGATACCAATAAATCAATAGTGGAGATAGAATGAAACCATAAAAGGGCTGTGAGATGGCTTAGTGGGTAAAGCTTCTTGCCTTCAAGTCTGATGACCAGAGTCTAATCCCCAGAACCAATGTGGTAGAAGGAAGGAGAGATCTGACCTCTCTGCTGTCCTCCCACCTCCACACACACCATGTACACACCACATACATACAAAGGACTAAATGGATGACAATAGAAATCAAAAAGTTCTCCATTCCTGAGGCATCATGGCATATGCCAGTAATCCCAGCTGAGAGAGGCTGAGCCAGGAGGAATGAGAGTTCATGGTCAGCCTGGGAAACATAGAGAGGCTTTGTCTATTAAACAAAAACAAAACATCAAGGACTGGAAATACAGTTCAGTGGTAAAGTGCTTGCCTATTGTGTGCAAGGTCATAGGTCCAACCCCTAGTACTACTGAAATAGATACTTTTAAAATCTCCGTGGTACTTAATATTGCTATAAACTTCATTGGAGCTGGCATCCAATGAAGATGTGTTTTGGATATATTCATCAGGATGTTTATAGCTTCAGGAGGAAGGACCTGTACACCCAGAGTGGGGAGCACACTCTAGCCATGGCCCAAGTTTAAAGATTTTGAGGAAAATCCGAGTTGCCTTGCCCACTCACCTTCCCACCCTGCTGATACACAAGTGTGCTGCTGTTGCTGCTGCAGCTGCTGTCCTTTGCTAATATCAGAGCCCAACTTCGATGAAGTCCTCAGCTGTCCAGGAACCCCGCTAGCCCTTATCTCTAGATTTGGACTGCTGAGTCTTGTGGCCTGAACAGACTTTCAACATGCAGACAGCCACTGTCCCCTTTCCTTTGTAACAGGTACTGGCATCCAATGGAGGAACATCGGCCGTGTCCAGGGAGACTTTAGCTTCCTCCAGGTGCTGCTGATGCTTCTGGTGGACTCCTTCTTGTACTGTCTGATAGCCTTTTTGGTGGAGTCTTTCTTCTCAGGAAAGCTTAGCACGACTAAGTCTTGTTACATCTTTGCCAAGGTAGGCTCTGATTCTGCTATTTCAGAGACAGATATTAAGTTGTTATGTTTGTCGTCTGTGTTCCTCCATCTCCTAACGGTGTTCTAATTAAGGCCTCAGACAGTAAGTCTTTACCCCAGATTCATGTCCTAACTATCCACTTGTGATTGGCAGTGGAACATAATTAACAGTGAGTCTTTGTTTCTCTGAACTTGCCCCACAGCTGATGCAATGACCTCGAGAATGAAACACTGTAATACCAAACACTGTTTGCCTGTTGATTACCAGGCCCTGCATTATCCCACAGAATGCTCTTTGCTGATATCAGAACCCAACTCACTAGAGTTCTCACACACCCCTTCTCCACTAAGTGGTGTTAGTAGAGGGGCCTTTGAGACCTTTATGATCAGTATGCCCTACCTCATAGGTACCTGTCTTAGCTAGGGTTTCTATTACTCCGATAAAACACCATGACCAAAAGCAATTTGGGGAGCAAAGCATTTATTTCAGCTTACAGCTCTATCACTCAGAGAAGTAAGAACCTGGAGGCAGGAGCTGATGCAGAGGCCATGGAGAGGTGCCGTTTACATGCTTGCTGTCATGGCTTGCTCAGCCTGCTTTCTTACAGCACCCAGGACTAGCAGCCCAGTCACAGTTTTCCTGGACAGTCCCAGAAATTCACAGACTAAGTTTTTCTTGCGAATATGAGCTTTTTGTGCTTGACTCAGCCTCCCACCATGGCCTGTGATGATCTGCCCATGGGGCTAGTGAGAGACCTCTGCAGCATCTGCTCTGCCTTGCTTCTTGTATGGAGAAACAGGTAACTGTAACACCAGCATTCCCATCCAGGCCTCGCCCCCAAGAACACGAATGCTGGTGAGGTGGTTTTCCAAGTACAGTCAAGAGCCTGGAGATGAGGCTGCTTTCTTAGATCCCCTCTCAGTGCCAGGGACTTTAGGGATTTTAGGTTGACCTGCAGTAAATCCACCAGTGGGCTGGTTAACTTCTCCGGGTGCCATGAAATATTAGATTCAGCAAATAAACTGCCTGTGCGTCAGAGGTCTAATTTGCCAAAGTTTGTCTCCCATAAGAGAAAGACGACACAAACAGTTACTGTGAAAGTTAACTTCTCATGCAGTGCCCCTCCTGGCTCAAGAAGCCTGTTCCAGTAACACTGCCACTTCTGGATATCGGGGGTCCTGAGAAAATTTCAAGAAGCGATTTCATGGAGGATGAGCCAACTGATGAGCTGAAAGCCGTTGAAATCCGACATCTGTGTAAGGTATTGGCTTTCAAGCTTCATTCCAGGAACTTGAGAGAAACAACCCCTTTAAGCTTGTGTTTTATTCTAACAGTACTTACAAGCTACTCTTTGGAATCAAGAATTTTCATTCCCTGTGTGATCCTACTCTCAAAAATTAGAAATGTAGCTTGAAATGGCCTGTTTCCTGTCATGAAGTTAAACGGAAGATCTGTGGATCTGGTTTTTTGGAAACAGTGCCCTCTCGACCTCCAGTACCAAGCATCTCCATTGGCGATAGGCCCGAATGCAGCCATCTGACAGATGACTTATATCCACCAAATCAAAATGTAAACCCAATCCCAAGTATAGGAACAGGTGGTTGCTCTTCCATAGGTGCCTGCAGACACGTATGCCATGCAGAGCCCTGTTCACTAAGTATTTCTGTGTATAATCTCAGTGCTTACAGGGTCTACAGAGTGTGGACTGTCTGCTAGGAATCTTGGTCCTTCAGCTATAAAAGAAAGCAGTGGGACCCTCTGTCCTTCCTTGACCTTAAGCTAACTCAGCTGGTGCGGTGGCACAGGACTTTAACCTGAGCACTTGCTGGGCACAGGCACATGGGGCTCTAAGTTTCAGGTTTGCCCGGCCTACACAGGGAGCTCCAGGCCAGCCAGGGCTCTGTAGTTAAGACTTGTCTCAAAACAACAACAATAAACGCACCACTCAGTCTTGCATTGTCTTCTTCTGGGAGATCAGCTGGATCATGTCCCAGCCTGGGACACTCACGAAATGGGTCCAGCTCTTCTATAAAATAGTAGTTAGGAGTTGCCCCAACTCCCTGTGGGCCCTTCCCTTGTTCCCTTACTCTCCGACTAGCTCTCGCTCTTTCTTCATAATAAGCAGTGTCAAGGCAGATGGTTCTGTGAGATTTCAGCTAATCAGCAGGCTCAGCTCACAGCTCTTTCTGTGTGACACATGGAATAATTGCTGTTCCCTGGATCATCCATACCACAAGCTTTCATGAGTGCAACGTGGCTGAAGCAGCTCATTTGTGGTAGAAGACCAGGGTTAGAATGCTTCCTTTGGCATGCCTTTTGCTTCTTTTCTTCCTGCCCTCTGCTCCCTTGCAATAGACTGCTCACTATCCTTGTTGTTCACAATTGTGCCACATGACACTCTGCTGAAAAGGACACTGAAGTCAAAAACAGACGCTCACTTGGTTCAAAACAGTAGAGACCAAGCAGAAATAAGGTCAGGGGGAGTGTGCAACTTTCTTCTATAATACCACGTTTCAAGCATCATTGGATGACATCTAAGTGCCAACTGACAAGTGACTGCAGCCTAGACCCAAAGTCCAGCCCAAATGCCATTAGATGGGACAGAAATAGTCTAAATCAGACACCAAAATGCAGTGCCATTTCTAGTATGGCAGTATAGATGACTTTTTCCTCCTTATTTTTTTTGAAGGTCTATCTATCTATCTATCTATCTATCTATCTATCTATCTATCTATCTATCTATCTATCTATCTAATGTATATGAGTGCTTTCTGTAGACCAGAAAAGGGCATTGGATCCCATTTACAGATGGTTGTAAGCCACTGTCTTATTTTGAGTTTTATTGCTATGAAGAGACACCAGGACCAAGGCAACTCTTCTAAAGGGAAGCATTTAATTGGGGCTGGTTTACTGTTTCAGAGATTTAGTCCATTATCATCATAGCAGGAAGCATGGCTGCGTGCAGGCAGACATGGTGCTGGAGGAGCCGAGAGTTCTACATCTTGATCCACAAGCAGCAGAGAAAGACTGTGTGCCACATTGGGTGTAGCTTGAGCATAGGAGACCGCAAAGCTCATCTCTCAGTGACTTCCTCCAACAAGGCTATACCTGCTCCAACAAGTCCACACCTCTCCTATGAGCCAAGCATTCACACACATGAGTCTATAGTGGCCAAACCTATTCAAACCACCACAGCCACCATGTTGTTGTTGGGAGGAGAACTCAGGACAGCTGAAAAAGCAGCCAGTGTTACTAACCACGCTAAGTCAACTCCTCAGCCCCTCTTCCTTACTCTTAAAGCATGAAGTTCTTAAATAACAAAAATATTTTTTAAAATATTGGAGCTGGTGGCTGGAGCAATGGCTCAGAGGCTAAGGCACTGGCTGCTCTTCCAAAGGACCTGGGTTCAATTCTCAGCACCCACATGGCAGCTCACAACTGTCTGTAACTCCTGTTCCGGAGGATCCAACTTCCTCACACATGCAGGCAAAACACCAATGTACATTAAATAAAAATAAATTTTAAAAAATAAAATCTTGGAACTATCTGACCTGGAAAACAGGTGACTCAGATTCTCTTTAGTTACATAACTCTTACCGAAGAAGCAAGGTGCACGTTCTCAGAGGCTTAGCCAGGTGAAAGGGTAAGGTCTACTTATGAGTAGAGGGAGGAAAGCCACGTATCTCACAAGCCTTCTAACCTTGAGCTCCTAGGCCTTTGGTTCAGGTTTCCTACTGCCATGTTTCAGGAATTGGGTCAACCCCTACTCAGGTTCCCCAGTAGCTCAAGGGGGTGAAATTATGAGAGAATTATGAAACCTTTTAGGTTTCAGTTTGAATACCCATTAATAACCTACATTTAAAAATTATTTTTACTTTTAATTAGGAGTATGTGTGTGTGGAAGTTGGGGGTGGAGTGTGTGCACATGAGTGCAGGTGCCCATGGAAGCAAGAGGCCTTAGATACCCGGGAGGGATGGGTGGTCATGGGTGGCCAATGTGGATACTTGGAATCAAACTTGGATCCCCCACAAGAGCGATATGAGCTCTTAACCGCTGCGCCATCTCTCCAGTCCTCACCCTGCTTGATGAACTTTCAAAGGAAGCTGACTTGGATACGAGGCTTTCCAAACTCTTTAGAAATGCCTGCACCTGTGGTACTATCCTGCCAGTCACGCCCTGACGTTCCCACAGGTGTTTTACAGGGGAAGGAGTAAACACATAGCAGTCAAAGATCTGAGCATGAACCTGTACAAGGGGCAGATCACCGTTCTTCTGGGACACAACGGATCAGGAAAAACCACTGTCTGCTCCATCCTTACAGGTACCTGTGTGGGGCAGCTCTGCAGGGGCAGCCCTTAATAGACGGCTGCACAGATCTACATTTTGGATTTCTTCTCTGTTAAATTTCATTGACATTTTAATGTTAAACATGATTTGTTGTTAATTGTACCATCGTTGTAGTATCTGGTTGTATACACTGATACTTCGGTAACTATGCCCAGACAAGGAAATCTTTGCCCCCTTCAGTCAGTCTGCAGAACTACCTCTCATTCTCTCCGACAAGACATGAACAGTGTTTAGTTTCCTTCTAGATAGAACTGTACTGCTCAGCGTGAGACACTGCTCATCTCTTAGCACCTCAAATCTCTCAATGAGAACATCTTTGGATTTTGATTCCCACAGGTACTTTTAGAATGCTTCCTGTGAGTTATTCCAAAATACTCATTTCAGAGTAATTTTGTGCTTAAATAATTATTTCATATCCTGTCAACTAAAATGATGTCCTGTGAAATTTGAAAACTCACTCAGGAAACATTTATTGGAGGTTTAACACATATAAAGCTCAGGACAAAATCAGAGGGGTGCATAGCCAGCTTTGAAGGAGCTCTAGAAATCAACAGGCCCTTACACACAGAATGCTATGGGGCTGGCAATCAAGCAACTGTGAGCCTCTTCAGATGGGAGCAGTTTTTCAGTATTAAAACACTTGAAGAACAGCAAGACTTAGTGACACTTGGTGAGGGGTGGCCTCTGCTACCAGGATTTTGAAAGCCAAGTCTTAACTAACATATATGTACTGGGTATGTTATGTGTGTATCCTACTGGAGACTAAACCCTACAATTTCCTGGTCAGAGGTACAGGCATTTCTCGAGGAGTGGACCTCTTCAGATATAGGCTGTTTCTTGTTTTAAAAACAAAATCTCAGGTATTCGATTTTACCAATAAAGACTCATGAGCCAGGTGCTGGGGTGAAAACCTACTAGCCCAAAGAGGCAGAGAAAGCACCCAGGTGATCTTCCTACTCAGCTCACGTCCCAGAAGGAAAAAGCCAAAAAGCCCCCTTTACTTCTCCACACTGTCTTAAATGCCCTTCTCTCAATGTCTCTCCTTTCTGTTTAATCCCTGTCGGCTGGTTTCTTGCTCCACCTGTTGACCTAGGGTTGACTTTATTTAGCTCTTGGATTAAAGGTGTGTGCTAGGGCTGAGACATACCACAAGGATTGTTTACAGTAAACAGGAAGCTCTTGGGTTAATGGTGTGTGTTGGGGCTGAGCCACAGCAAACAAGAGAGAAGTTTTTACAGTTCACAATCTCAGGGTTCATAATGGGAGCAAATATCCTACAACAGTTTTTTACAAGTTAGGCTGAAGAAGCCCTTTCTGAATGTGTGTGTGTGAAGTTCTCAGTGCTGGAAAAGAAGTCCAGCTGTGCCTATAGGCTAAGTATCAAAGAGGCAAGTCAGGCGCTAGATTGTTCAGGAAGGCCATGAGTCCTTATTTCTTCACACACTCTTCCCTATTACAGTCCCTTGTTTTGTGGCCAGGATTCCTCACAGTCAGCATTTCATTTGTCTGTAAGTTTATGTGTATGCTATTTCTCTGTCTCACCATCCCATCTTATTCCTGAAGAAACTGCCTTGTTTACATCTGGAAACTACAATGCTGGAACAGTGTGTTTGCACAGAATGCATCATTTCATTGACTAAAAGTCTGAATTGCAAATATGGTCAAAATGCCAGCCATGAATGCCATGTTACAGAAGCCCTATCACAGATTTCTAACTAAATTATAGAACATACAAAAAATTTAACTCTGGCCTGGCGAGAGAGACGTGACTAGGAGTCATATAATGGTGTTCGTGCACTCTGGGGATAATCAAAAGCAAAGTCTGGTTGCTTCTCCAGGACATTGGCTAGCAAAGGACTTCCATACCATAGTTTTTTGTTTTTTTCAAACAGGATTTATTGTGTAGCACAGACTAGCCTCAAGTGGCACATGCTAGAATTATAGATATATGTGCCATTATATCCAGCTACAAACTATATTCTTTTGGCAGAAAAAAAGCCCCAAACTTTATGTATTATAGACTTTGAAACTTCTGCTATTATAAATTTACATAAATACTTTTTATTTTTTTGAGTCAGGGATTCTCTATGTAGCTTTGTCTGTCCTGGACTCACTTTGTAGGCCAGGCTGGCCTTGATCTGCCTGCCTCTGCCACCATGCCTGGCTAAGACTTTCTTTCTTTTTGTTTGTTTGTTTTGTTTTTTTACAGGCAGGATTTCTTGTTAGCCGTGGCTGTCCTGGAGTTTGCTCAGCAGATCAGGCTGGCCTTGAACTCAGAGATCTGTCTGCCTCTGCCTCCAGAGTGCTGGTATTAAAAGTTGTGTATCACTATTATCTGGCATAAAGACTTTCCATAGTTAATCTAGAGTGGTTTTACCTTTTATTCTTGGTGTGTGTGTGTGTGTGTGTGTGTGTGTGTGTGTGTGTGTATGGCTGTGGGCGTGTGAACATGTGTAGATGGAAACCAGAGGACAACTTCAAGTGTCATTCCTTGGAGCTGTTCACCTTGTTTTGTGAGACAGTTTTACTCACAGGGACCTGCGGCTCACTGATTAGCCTAAGGTGGTCGGCCAAGGAGCCCTGGATATCTGCCTGACTCTACCACACCCGCCCCAACCGTCATACACACCAGCGATGGGATTCCATGGGTGCTGAGGCCTGGACTCAGTCCTCAGTCCTTCACCAGCTATCTCCCCCAGCTCCTCTACCTTTTTACCTTTAAAAAATGATTTTTAAAAACATCTGTATGCTGTATTTCTGTGGATGGATGCATGTGAGTTCAGTTGGGAACTGAATCTGCGTGTTTTGTAAGGACAGTATGTGTTCTTAACCTCTAAGCCATCTCTCCCAGCCTGTGGGCTTGGTCTTGCTGTTCCGCTGCAGTTGTCCTCTGAGGTGGAAGCCTGTTGGAAGGCAGCAGCAGTTGCTCTCCAAACACAACTACCTCATCCTAGTCTAACCCACTGAGCTTAATTTTGTGGATTTTTCCTGTAACGGGGAGAAGTTTGTTCTTTTCTGAAGAGCTGAGGATGTAATTGAATGACTGAATACTTTCTTAGCACGGGCTCAATCCCTTGGGATACAGCTCTCCCACAGATAGAGGGCTGTAGATGGTACTCTCATTTGCGTCATCAGTGCAAGCGTGTGCTGCACTGTTTGCAGCACGCCCAGGGTCCCACGTTGCCAGGCTCCAGAGGACACACTGACATTTAAAGGCAGCTTGACATTTTTGGTTTGGGCTTCTTTCTCTTGTTAGCTGAAGTGATAAGCTGCAGGAAGCCTTTATTGTAGTCTCAATTCCAAGTGCTAGGGAACTTGCCATGCAAGACGATGACTTAGTTCTATCCCCAAAACCCATCACAATCCCAGTGCTGGAGAGGAAGAGACGGGGGAATCCCTGGGGCCCACTGGCCAGCAAGCCTAACCTAATGAGCGAGCCTCATATCCCTGTGAATGAGCTTGTCTCACAAAACACAGTGGACAGTTCCTGAGGAGTTAACACTTGAGCTTGACCTCTGGCTTCAGCATTCATATACTCAAACATGCAAGAGGCAGGCTTCATATAGTTTGTTTGTTTCTAGAGTGGGGATTTCCAAGGTGGGGAGTGGTAGGATTTCAAGCCCTGAGTTTAGACTTTTTATCCTGTAGGGCGGAGCTTGTCCATCTGCATCGTGAGGGGCTAGGTCTAGCCATTAGGGCCTTCAAGCATTCTATGGGCAGAGCCTGGTGGTTGGAGGTCCTCAGGAGCAGAGCCTGGCCAGGGGTGCTCCTTGCAAGGCTTACAGGTACTAATAAATGCACTCAGGTTCTCTGTAAAAGCAGTGTGTACTCTTAAATGCTGAGCTATCTCTTCAGCCCTACCCTTTACCTTTCATTCCCCAGATAATTATGGATACTTTATTATTCACAGCCAAAGTGGAAGATCTAATCTGGAAGTGAGTATCAAAACCTTTTAAAATGTTGTCTCCCAGGGCCTGGAGAGATGGCCTGGCTCTTAAGAACACTTGTTGCTCTTCCAAAGGACCCAGGTTTAATGTCCAGCAGCAAGATGGAGACTAACAACTGTAACTCCAATTCCAAAGAATCTACATCCTCTTCTGGCCCCTGCATGCAAATGATATACAGACACTCAGGCAGGCAAAACACCAAAATACATTAAAAATATAATAAATAAATCTCTTTAAAGAGTAAAATCTTGCCTCTCTTATAGGACCTACCAAATCCAGCTATATTGTTTTAGAATTTAAAGAATGACCTAAGTTTAGACTTTGCTAAGTTCAATGTTTTTATTTGTGGAAAATCACACATAACCTACATATCCCCTATAGGTTGGATAACTAAATAGGATATACATTGTGACGATGAAATCTTTTTAGCTTTTAAAAATGACACAGATCTGGGCTGATGAGATGGCTCAGCACATAAAGGCACTTGCCACCAAAACCGAAGAGTTCAGTTCAACCCCCAGAACGTATACGGAGGAGGGAGAGAACTGCCTCCCTCGAGTTTTTCTCTGGCCTCCCCATGTGGTATGCACCACCCCCACACAGCAGAGGGATGTAAATAAGTGAATGTGTTTTTTAAAATCATGTGTTTCAAGCCATGCATAAAGATACATGCTTATAAAGCTGGAAGTCAAAAGTTCCCTACATAATCAAACTTCATCTCAAAAAATAAAAATAAAAAAGATACAATTTTTTTTGTAGATAAATAGTCTGAATACATTGTTATACTGAAAACAAACAGATGACAACAACAAACAAACATAAAACAGTTAAGCCGAGCATCTTAGTGGGATGCCTAGAAGGCTAGCCCGATCAGTATGAGAAAGTTCAGGCCAGTCTGTGTTGTACGGCAAAGCCGAGGTCAGTCTGGCCTTCACAGAGACTTCATCTCAAACAGACAACTAGAAACCCACAAAACAGAAAAGGAAACATTAATTTTTAAAAGCCAGTATTTATATTTTCTATTTTAGTATAAAAACAATGCATAGGGTTGGGAGTCTTGCTTATTGGTAAAGGTCTTACCCAGCCTTTGTGAAACCCCAGATTCACTCTATCTCTACCTCAATGAACATGAACACATAAAATGTGCATAAAACTAAGTAAGGCTCTATATCAAAATGTTAATTATATCTTTTCATAGTGGAACTTACTAAACAGCATTTGTTTCCTTTATTCAAGTGAGTTTTGCTGGTAGTGGTAGTGGGTTTTGTTTTATTTTGTTTGAGATAGGGTTCCTCTGTATAGCACTGGCTGTTCAGGAACTTGATCTGTAGACCAGGCTGCCCTCAAACTCACAGAGACCCGCCTACCTCTGTCTTCCAGTGCCAGGATTAAAGGCACATTTGACTGCTACCTAGTTTAAGATTTATCTTTCTCTTCTATGCCTATGAGCGTTATGCATACAAGCATGCATGCATGTATGTATGTATCTGATGCTCTCAGAGGCTGGAAGAGGGTGCTAGATCCCCTAGAACTGGAGTTAATTACATTGTAAAGCACCGTGTGGGTTCTGGGGGGACTGAACCCTAGTCCTCCAAGAATAAATTCTCTTAACCCCTGGACCATTTCTTCAGCCTCTGTTACTTTGGTGAACTTTCTGTGATAAGAATGTATCACTCTTGTCATTCACCCTTCTTATGAACATTTTGTGATAAGGATATATTGCTCTTATCATCCTAAGAAGAATAAAGATTAAAATAATATGTATGTAGTCAGGCTGCCAGTTTGCATACTGGTATACATTTGTCAGTAATTTCGTTCATTCATTCATTCATTCATTTATTCAGGGAACAGATATTTATTGTCAATCAGGGTATAAAGTCAGACCTTGCCTTTGAGGATCACATTTCAAAACTGTTAGGTTCCCAAAGTGCTTTTCCCCACCCTATCTACTAGTCATACAGATTTGCTCTACAGTAATGTGATTTACTTTAATCACTCCCTACAGTAATGTGATTTACTTTACAGTTATTAAATCCATTTAACCATGTTGGAATCGCTCAAAAGCAGGAAGCATTTTTCCTGTCTCTGATCTTTCCTGCATATTCTCAAGCACAGGCACACATAGGACCTATATTCCTTGGATGCTGCTGATTGACTGATGGTGACAAAGTAGAATAAAGACAGTGTATGGGAGAACCAACAGCAAGGGTAATTTTGTTAGGCCTTCATACTCTCATAGCCTCTGACTGAAAATGACTTTAGGATGTCTTTCTGCTTGGTTTTAGGTCTTATTGCTCCATCAAAAGGACAGGCATATATCAATGGATATGAAATTTCAAAAGACATGGTTCAAATTAGGAAGAGCCTGGGCTGGTGCCCACAGCATGATATTTTGTTTGATAACTTAACAGTAACTGACCATCTTTCTTTCTATGGTCAGGTGAGTTGGTGGACAATGGGTATGTGTTCATTCTTAGGAATGGTAAGATAGATTACAGCTCTGGTTCATTTTGGGGGAGTCCTTTTAAGGGAACACATATGTTTCTCAATGTCCTGACAGCGAATGTGGGGAGGTGATTTCCCATGGATCCAATTCTCTATTCACGGACTGGGTGTCCTGTAATTCAGTTCTGATGCTGCCTGCAGCTAACATGCCTCTCCCCTTCAGCTCAAACACCCAGTTCTACAAGACTACCTCCCACTTCAGATGCCTCTTGCAAATTCCAAGTTGTTTGCAAAGCCCACTCCTCAGGCTCAGTATTTTCTGTGACTGCTCAAAAAAAAAAAAAAAAAAAAACTGCAGGGGATACTTATAGTGACCAGTTCATTGCAAAAAAAAAAAAAATTATGGCTACAACGAACACTCAGATGAAGCAAACAGAACAGGGTCTTTGGGAAGGGAGTTCCTTAGGAGCTCAAACCTATCCAGCTCTTCAGTGCATTTGCCAGCCCAGGAACCCCAAACTTAGCATCTTTAAAATTTTATGCAAGATTCGTTTTCTGGTCATGATGGGTTATTTTCCCCACTTTCCCCGGAGGATGGGAGTGGAGTTTAGATCATGGCTTAGTCTTTCCGATGACTAGTCCCCACCACTGAAGCTACCCAGTGGTGTGCAGAGTCACCTTATTAGAACAGAAGACACCCCTTCATTCACATAACTCTAGGAATTTAAGGGTCTCTCTGTAGCAAAGAAGCTCAAGTCTTAAAATAAAAAGCAAATAGTAGGACAAAAGAAACTTCTAAAACCCTTATCATTTTTTGAATTTGTTTTACTTTTTATTCAGATAAAATGCACATCACGTAAAATTTGCTGCTGTTTCTTTCTTTTTTTTTTTTTTTTTTTTTTTTGAGACATAGTCTCACTATGTAGAACTTGGCTGGCCTGGAACTTGCTATGTATACCAGGCTGTACTCACAGAGATCCACCTACTTCTATCTCCCAAGTGCTGAGATTAATGGTGTACATTGCCATGCCCAGCAATATTTTTATTAAGTCTTTGAGAATTTCATACAATGTATTTTGATCATATTCATTATCTAGTCTCCCCCTCCCATACGTACCCTCTCCACCCTCAACTCACTACCCACCCAGCTTTGAGGTTTGTTTTTCCTTCTCCCCCTACCCCCTTCCCCACAGAGTCCACTACTGCTACTTGGAATAATGTCTGCCCTGGAGCAGGAGAGTAGCACATATAAACTCATAGCAATGATGAGAGCACGTACAGGACCAACACAGAATCAAGCCAGACAAAATCTCCAGCACAGAGGTGGGGAGGTGGGCATGAAACCCCGTTACTCGGTCTTTTTGACATCCTGACACTGATGTGTCATGGAGACTTTCTTCTCCAGTTATGTCTACCTGAAGTACTATGCACCTCTTATGGTTGGATGTTTGCTTTTGTGTTTGGAAATTTTTCTGCTGTAATTTCATTAAATAGTCTATTTATTACATTTGATTTTATGTCTATTCCTTCTCCTATGCCATGAAGTATCATGTTTGACCTTTTGAATGTATCCCAGATTGCTTGGAAATTTCATTCATGCTCCTTAATTCCCACTTCTTTATCTGTCTGTTAGTGTTATTGTCTCTACGTGGCCCTCCATCAATGAAATTTAACCTTCTGTATAGTATTGTATGTTAATGATGGTATCTGTTGGGATTTTTATTTGATTGATTGTCTACTTCATTTCAAATATCTGTTTGGTTTTTGTTTTCGTTGTTGTAATGTTTTGAGATAGTGTTTCTCTGTGTAACAGCTCTCGTTGTCCTGGAACTCACTTTGGAGACCAGGCTGGCCTCAAACTCACAGAGATCTGCCTGCCTCTCCCTCCTGCATGCTGGGATTAAAGGCATGTGCCACTACCACCCACCTATTTAGTTCTCCTTCTTCTTTTTTTTTTTTTTTTTTAATGTTTCAACCTCTTTACTGAATTTTCCTACACATTTCGGACTTTCCTTCCAGCTTACTGTCTCATTCACTTCGGAGACTGTATTGTCAAGGTCTTGGATACATTTTTGTAGCTCATTTGTCTGTTTGAATCTTCTGTATGACCATTACTTCTTTTAAAAACCAAGACTCTGAATTCCTTCTCAGACATGTCAGCTGTGTCTGTAGTTTTAGGTTCCCTTTTAGGGGAGCTGATTGATTGGGAATGGGTCATGGCTGGTGGTTGTATTATATTCTTTGTATTTCTTTGTTTTGTGTTATACATCTATGGGGGTGTCTCTAAGTTTTGACTTTCCCTTCTCTTAAGTTTATCTGAATGCTTTATTTTCTGTGATTCTTCCTAAAGAGTTAAGTATATGGGGCTTGGTGTTGATTGTTGATTGGAGGCAATTACACCCTGGCTATGTGCCAACAGGACCAAGGGTAGGGCTGTAAAGGAAGCCACAGACAACCAGATGGAGTAAAAACCTTGGTCATCTCTTGAATTCTGGGAACCCACTGGGAGAAGGACCTCAAACATCAGACCCGCTGAAGCCTGTGTACTATCTGGAGGCAAGGTTAGAGCCACAGACCTGAAGTAACCTCTAGGACCTCAGCATTTTGTACTCCCTAAGTCCTTCACTGAGCACTGGAACCTAAGAAGTCAAAACACCACATTCACACTGACCATAGGGACCTTGGGAACCAAAGCCCCAGGGTCTCAGGGAATCCTGGGAACCCTGGAGCTGAAGCTCATACCCTGCACTGACCTCTAAGGCCCTAGGACTGGAGGCCTGCCTCTAAACTAGCCCTGCTAGAGGTGAGCATCTAGTCTCAAGGTGCTTCCTGACCCAGTGGAGCAGAAGGCCTGTTCCTTCAATGCCCTTGGGTTCCACTGAAACTGGCACCTGGATACAAGTACTCTCTGGTGCCACAGACACCAGAGACCTAGTCTCTTGGAGCTTAAAAGCCATTTGTAAGAAATCTCTCTTCATACCCTTTTCCATTTTTCAGTTGAGTTGTTTATCCTTTAGTAATTTAGTTGTGAGACATTTTTTATTAGATGCTGGCTACTAAACCCTTAACAAATAGATATGGTCTACAGAAACTCTCTCCAATACTATCCATTGTCTTTGTTTCCTGTTTATTGATAGTAATTTTTTTATACACATTCCTTCATACACACACACGTGCACGCATGCAGGCATGCACACGGAAATGACTCTGTAGGAACTGGAGAGATGGTTCAGTAATTAGAGCACTCGTTGGTCTTCCAGAGGACCCAGGTTGGGTTCCCAGCACTCCCATAATGGTTTGCAACCATCCATAGCTCCAGTTCTGGAGATCTGACTCCCTCTTCTGTCTTCTATGGACACCAAACATGCACATGGTCTGCATCCATACATGCACTCACACATAAAAAAAAAAAAAAAAAAGAAAAAAAAAAAAGAAAAGACACTTTAGCTGAGTGTGGTAGCACATGCCTGTAATCCTAACACTCAGAAGGCAGAAGGATCACTGCCAGTTCAAGACCAGCCTGGTTACTCTGCATTGTAAATACCAGGCTACCCAGAGCTACATAGGAAGAATTTATTAAAAAAAAAAAAAGAAAGAAAGAAAGAAAGAAAGATTGGATTCAATCTTCCTTCATCCTTGAATGGGCATCACTGTTCTCAGAATCTCAGTTCTATTCCATTTTTCTGTTTCCTCTCTTTATACAAACACCTCAGTGTTGTATTTCTATAGCTTTAGAGGACGTGCTGAAATCAGAAGTGTGTCTCTGCCAACTTGCTTCTTATCTTCAAGACAGTTTTGATTATTTTGACTTCATTGCTCTTCCATACAAGTTTAGGAGCACAAGTTTTGTCCAAAGCTACAAAAAGTATTTTAAGGGCTATCAGAATTTGTAGGGTGCTTTGAATAGTAACGACATTTTAACATTATTAACAATATTAAAATTTCCAGTCCTTGAATATGAGATGCGTTTCTATTTATTGGTTCCCTTTAATTTCTTTCAATAATGTTTTACAGTTTTCAGTGTACAATTTTTGTATTTACATGATTAAATTTATTCCTAAATATTCTTGTGGTGCTAGTTTTTAGATTGTTTATTGCTAGTGTGAAAAGACCAAACTTGTGGGTGGGGGATGTAGCTTACTTGATACAGCACTTGCTTAGCGTGTGTGAGGCCCTAGGTTCAATGCCTAGCACCACATTAAATCAAGTGTGGTGGCACAAACCTGTAACCTCAGTTTTGAGAGGCAGAGGCAGAGGCAGAGGCAGAAGGATCAGTAGTTTAATGTCTTTCACGGCTACAGAGGTTAGCCTGAACTATATACCTCATGAAACCAAAACATGGGCTGGGGAGTTAGCTAAAGGACCTGTTGTACAAGCCACCACATAAGAGCCCAGCATGGGTGAGGTGGGGAAGGCTGGGGTGGGGGAGGAGTGAAGAGAAGGGGAGGATGAGTGGGTGGGTGGTTTTGTAAGTGAAGTGGAATAGGTGGACTGGATCACTGGACCTCACTGGTTTTCCAGTCTAGCCGAATGATGAGCTCTAGGTTTAGTGAGAGACCCTGTCTCAAAAGATAAGACAGAAAAGCAAGGCACTGAGAAAGAGAACAACACACACAGAAACACAAACACATACACTCCAAAACACACACAGAAACACAAACTTGCACAAGGCTGGCCTTTGAGAGTTGATGACCTCTTGTGTGACCTCTTGTGTGACCTCTGATATGACCTAAGGACTTGGTGGTGACAAAGAAGCTCCTGTCACTTGGGAAGTCCCAAGGATTCAGAGACCTTGCCAGGTACCATGGACAAAGGCTATATAAATTCTTTACTATAAAGCAGTGATTTAAAAACAAAATAGTCATAATATGTTTTTTTAACAGGTTGATGTATTTATTTTTAAGTCATTTACTGTTAAAAATGGATCTGAGGGCCTGAGACCATGGCCACACAACCCAAAGCATTTCAACAAGGCATTAAGTTTTAATTCTGCAGAAGGGTGGGTAGCCATGTCAAATCAAGCAAGCAAACTACACAGCAGGGCTCCTCTGCCTCTGCCTGAGTGGGCAGACACTGGCCTCACATTCTTACATAGTTGTCTAACTCAGAATGACACCATTCATAAGCAAAGTGCAACTTTTGAGAACAGGTTGCAACTTTGAGCACATACTTAGATCCTAGAAAAGTGTAAATTTGCTGGGTGGTAGTGGCGCACGCCTTTAGCCCCAGCACTCAGGAGGCAGAGGCAGGTGGATCTCTGTGAGTTCAAGGCCAGCCTGGTCTGCAGAGTGAGTTCCTGGACAGCCAGAGCTACATAGTGAGACTCTATTTGAAAATAAAGCAGAGATGGAGCAGGAGGGGAGAGATAGGTGTTGAGGAGGAGGAGGAGCTTTTGCCAGATGATGTCCTTCCATCTTTACAGATTCCTTCAAACATGGGACTTCCTTCATCTCACTCTACCCTTTGATAAAAAGAGTGCATTTCATTTACGTTTCCCATATTTATTCACTTACATAGTTCAAATCTTCCTTTGCTCCTTTCCTGAAATGTTTCTTGCATATTTTTCCTGTCCATTTTTTATGTGTATACAAGCAAAATGTTGATGAGACATCTCATCTCCCATCAGTATCACTTGCATCATATCCCCTCTTTTCTTGCCTTTCAGTTGAAAGGCCTGTCTCGCCGGGACTGTCGTGAGAAAATAGAGCAGATATTGTACACCCTCAGCCTGGAGGACAAGCGGAACTTGAAGTCCCAGTTCCTGAGTTTGGGGATGAAGCGCAAGCTCTCTCTTGGCATCGCCCTCATAGCTGGTTCTAAGGTATCGGGCAGGCGGGTCTGGCCTCTTGATGGAGCCAAGTCAGGCTCCCACATGAGGACAAACCCAGGGGTGGTGATGACAATTTAGCAAACTGTGAAGCTGCAGAAGGCCACCCAGCTTGGCCAGCCTGAGGCTGGGATGTGGCCCCATCATTGTCACAAGGCTTCATTCATCTCTGCCCTCAGGTATTGATTCTGGATGAACCCACCTCAGGCATGGATGCAACCTCCAGGAGGGCCTTCTGGGACCTTCTTGAGGAGCAGAAGGGTGACCGCACCATCCTACTGACCACCCATTTCATGGACGAAGCTGACTTTCTGGGAGACCGCATTGCGATCTTGGCCAAAGGGGAGCTACAGTGTTGTGGGTCTTCAGGGTTCCTCAAGCAGAGATATGGTGAGTGGTGGGCAGCAGGAGCCCAGATCAGCTTCCATCCTGACACTCTCCACTGCCTTTGTGAAGGGCCCTGACCCTGCCTGGACACGGCCTTCTCTAGACTTCCTGTTCTGTTGGTCCAGCAGAAGGGCTTGTGAGAATGAGGAAGAAATGAAGAGGTGTCTTTGAGACTTAGCATCATACGACCCATGTTTATATTTCAGTTTGTCAGTTTGCTGCCTCTTCATCCAGGCACCAAACTAATCTATCTTTTCTTAGAATTTTTAAAAAAATCTAATTTATGAAATAGAAACAAACACATAAGCTCCAAAGAAACCCAAAGGCTCTCTGGCTCCTATCTCTCTCACAGCCCATGTCTGACCCATCTGCAAACACATCCATTTCTCTCAGTTTATGACCACATTCTGGCATTCTGGTCTAGCTCACCATCTCCTCCCCCTCTGGATTATTACAAATTCCTCCTACCCCATCTGTCGGTCTCTAATCTTACAGCTTCTCACTCTGTTGTTGACCCATGCGCACCTGGCAACGTACAGCATTCTTCTTTTCAGAATTCCCAAAAACCCTGTCCTTGGCTTATTGCACTCTTATTGTAGTCCCTCTTTACTGCCTAGCACGGTTAGATTTTCCACCATGCCATCTTCCAGTTCTGAAACACAAGAGTGCAGTCAGGTCATGAAGGTTTAAGCTGACCTCAAGAGGTCTCCTCGAAATCTGTCCATTCCGAAATACAGAAAACTATGGCCCAAGAAGAATAGTATAAAGAATAAGAGGATTTTACCATCTTTTATATGGAATTTCAGGTGCAGGATATTACATGACTTTAATAAAAGCACCTCCCTGTGACACAAGGAAGCTTTCTAGTCTTGTTTATCATCACATACCAAATGCACTTTTGGAGTCCAGCATTGGAGAAGAAGTGATATTCATACTTCCTAAGAAGAGCACGCCCAGGTATGGACTGAGTCATTAGCACAGTCTACCGTGGCCACAAAAATTCACACCCTTCACACATGCCCAAATGTGAAATACAGTGTGTCTTGTTACGGGATCAGTATGAGATTCAGGACCCCATTACCTGAATTATGTCTAGCATGGCACCTGGCCTAAACTCATTGGGTTTGGCTCATCTTGAAGACGACTTGTGAATCAGAGAGAGGTTTTCTGACCCACATACACCCAGTGAGTGGTGATCACAAGAAACAGCTTCATTCAGAAACAGGAGTAAAGGCCAATAACACATGTTAGTCTTCAGCACGTCTAAATTCTGGGTTGACTGACACGTGTCTCAGATGTCTGTGTTTTCAGGAACAGGGAATGGATAATGATGGTTTGATTGCCTTTGACTCCATCCTCTGGCTGTTGATTCTGTCTTCTGAGTAATTATTTCTCTTCCATAATTATTTGTTTTCCAGCTGATTGACAGAGCTTAGTAGCTAGCTTCATTTGTTTTCTCCTTTACTGTAGAAGGGTGTCCAAGTTGCTATAATAAGTGCTTCCTAGGTATCCCATGTATCAGATTATGAAAAGCATGTGCTTTTTTTTGGACTGAAGCCATGTTTGAAGTCTTCAAAACATGTCCTGCCATGCCACACTCCCATGTCACCCATACTCACAAATGCCCTGTAGTCTTTTCTGTTAAGACAACTTAAGGTGTTGCCAAACCTCCTGCCACTAAGTAACAATATTTTTCACCATTCTTCCAGCCTCTAGCAAGATTTCTCTTGAAGCCCCTCTTGCCTTATTGTCTTATCCCAAAAGCATGACACATGCTCTAGATTCTCAGAGGTCTTTCATACTGCTATGGTGCTTCTAGCTTCAAATTCTTGATCAGATGTATGTTCCTGAATAGCAACTCAACTCAAATAATTCTAACTTAGCTGAGCCATGGTGGCTCATGCCTTTAATCCCAGCACTCAGGAGGCAGAGGCAGGTAGAGCTCTGAGTTCAAGGCCAGCCTGATCTACCAAGTAAGTCCCAGGACAGCCAGGGCTACACAGAGAAACCTTGTCTTGAAAAACAAAATAGAAAAAGAGAGAGAGAGAGAAAAGAAAAGGAAAAGAAAGAAAGAGAGAGAAAAAAAAGAAAAAAGAAAAGAAAAATTCTGTCTCAAAGTGGCAACAATATCAGTGTTTCTTGTGGGTTTTCCCCCCAGTACTGGTGGCCTAGGGCCTAGGGCCTTGCACATAAAACTCAGAGGCTCTGACTCTTGTGTACTCCTGCTCCCAGAAGCTTCAGTATATTGGCTGCACTGAGCTTGATAGTTTTTATGATCTACATTAGTTTTTTTTCTGGGACTAAAATGATCTGAACTATCCAAGATGACTCATTCCCACATCTGGGAAACAATGCTGACTAACATCTGGGCACTTACTAAAGCTGCTAAGTGTGGCTCTAGTCCTCCTCTAGGTGGAGTTTGGCTTCTCATAGCATGGCAGGTAGAATCCAAGAAAAGACATTCCAAGTACTGAGAGAGAGAGAGAGAGAATGAGAATCTGTCACCTGTCTTTATGCCAGGACTCAGAAATACCAAAATCTTACTTCTGTACTAGATATATTTTAGCTTTATCCCCATAGGAACCTTCTAAAGTAAATGCTATTACCAGTTTACAAGCTATAGTGATGAAACTAAGTGATGAAGCTGAGTTCTGAACAGATATCTTGACAGTAAATGCTATGTCTTTGCCGCTATAGAGAGCTAAGGGTGGTAAAGGATTCACCTTCCATCTTTTTCCCCTGCTTCTAGGTTCAAAGCTCTATTTACTGACTTAGAACAGAGACGGATAGAGCTGGGAATCTCCACTTGGGGGGCTTCTGTCACCACTATGGAGGAAGTGTTCATACGGTAAGCAAAAATGAAACTGGAAGGCTGAGGAGGCAGCTCAGGTGGGTATGTTTGCTGTGTAAGCATGAAGATGGGCACACTGGCTGGCCAGCCTGGCAAAACAGCAGGGATAGTCAGGTTCAGTGAGAAACCCAATCTCAAGAGAGAAGATGGAAAGCAATAAAGGAAGACACCAGACATCTACCTCTGTCATCAAAAGTATCTGTGCACACACATGAGCACACACTGACACACACACACACATACAAACACACGAACAAAACTGACAGCTCCCAAGATCTTAGGTTTGGAAGGGATCATAAACATCATCCATCTAAATATTACCCAATGCTGGACTCTTTTTTTTTTTTCTAATGGTCTTGCTGAATGGCTATCTAGATTTTGATCTAGTGGGATATTAGACAGTAAGAGATGCTGTTAAATGTTTTATTATTCAACATACATGTTAGGGGTGGTGAGACAGGGTCTCTCTATGTATAGCTGTCTTAGACCTCACCATTTAGATCATGCTGGCCTTCAAACTTAAGAAGATCCACCTGCCTCTGCTTCTGCCTCTGCCTCCTGAGTACTGGGATTAAAGGTATGCACCACCACCGCCTGACATCAGTAGCAGTTTTAATGAAAACTTTGTCATTTCCATGGAAGTTAATTTATATGTTTCTGCCTTTCACGGATTTTTAACATTTACACTATTTAAAAAATATTTACCTTACATCGGGGCATGATGGCACACACCTGTAATCCCAACACTCAGGGAGGCAGAGACAGGTGAATCTCTGTGAGTTCGAGGCCAGCCTGGTCTACAGAGAGAATGCCCAAGACAGCCAAGTCTACCTAGAGAAATCATATCTCAAAAAAGAAACAAAAGAATTTTACCTTAGGGATCACAAAATATTTCCTTTACCTTTTCTTCTGGAAACATTATTATTTTAGTTTTAAATTAAGTATATAATTCAGCTGGTGATTAATTTGGGGTATGACTTGATAAGTTATCAATTTTCATTTTCTTCTATATGGCTATCCAGTTGGGACACAATTATTTATTGAAAAGATTTTTTTCCACATTAAATTATTTGAATTCTATTACCAAAAGTCAGTTGACTCTAATTTATCTATTTTCCCAATTCTGCTTCATGGATCTATTTTGTCTTAGATGGTATTGCCACACCGTTGGGATTGTTGTACCTTTTCAATATGTTTTGTAGTCAGGCAGTCTATAGTTTCTCCAGCTTTGTTCTATTTTTAAGATTGTTTAGTTATTATAGTCACTTTGATATAAACTTGTCAATTTCTTAAAAAAAAAAAAAACCCTGCTGGAATGCTAGTCCATTATTTTTAACAATGTGCTACACTAATACAAGGTGTTAATCTTCGGGGAAAAGGAGGTATAGGAAAAGCTCCCTGTACTTGATGCTCTTAGAAGTGGATCTAACAGTCCCAGTCCCACCTCCAGACAGGTACCTGCAGCCCTGGCCAGTATCTAGAAACCATGCCCTCATGAGAAGCCTTGAGACAAGAATCATACCACTCCATTTCTTCACCCACAGAAACTGTGAGACATAATAAATGTTTACAGTTGTTCTAAGCTGCCCAACTTTGATGATAATCTGGGTTGCAATCATAAGCCACACATGTGCCATGTTTTATAAAACTGTGCAGAAGAAAAAACTAGCCACAATTGATTATGTCTTTTGTTGGGACAAATTTCCAGAGCTATGAGCAGAAATACATTATCTGGCACTGAATACTTTTCTCCATGAATGGACTCATCTCTTTGCTTAGACCAGGAGTCAGGGTCAGCAAACTATTCTTAAAGAGCCAGATATTCTATGTTATGCAAGTTGAGTGGCACAATCAAGGATAGTATGTATGTACTTACATAACCACCCAACATGTGACCATTTCAAAATGCAAAACCATTCTAAGTTCAGGGCCAGGAAGAAAGGAGACCGTGGCTGCTTCTGAACCACTGACCAGAACTTACTAAGTTTCTGGTCTATAATCTTAATGGTGCTATGTTTAAAATGTTTAGTTTTGATTATAAAATTAACTAATATGTTATTTTGTTTTAATTTTCATGTAGTACTTTTCAAAACCAAATAACAAAATGTAGTCATAATAGTGTTGCCTAAGAGCTTTGGAAAAGACACAAGTGAGTTAACACAGTGTTTAGTACTATGGACGACCATGCTACCCACCTCACAACTTACACACAGCTCCGTCAGCAATCATTATTATTATTATTCTAACTTAACAGTTTTTCCAAATATGTGAATTTCATTGTTTAAACCTGAGCAGAATGAAATGTATTGTGGTTTTGAGGCTTTGTATTTGCTTATGTTTTTGGTTTGGTTTAGAGTTTCTAAGCTGGCCGATCCTGGCACAAATATCTTAACTGAGAAGCAACCCTCTTTTCATCCTCGTCCCCGGATTCACAGAGTTCCTGTTGACAGAATTAAGTATCTTCACTCAAGGATCTTCTCAGTGCACCCTAGGCAGATGATCAAACAAAACACTGGAGTAAGCATCCTATTTCAGATACATGAAAAAAAAATGTGGTTTAATTAATGGAATCATGCTATCATTCCATCAAAAGCTGGGTAGGCAAGGCATAGTGGTATACACCTCTAATCCCAGCACTCAGAAGGCACAGGCTGATGAATCTCTGTGAGTTCAAGGCCAGCCTGGTCTTCATAGTGAGTTCCAGGAACAGCCAAGGCTACACAGAGAAACCCTGTCTCAAAAACTAAAAATAAAAAAGAGCTGAGTTTAGTAATACATGCCTGTAATCCCAGTGCTTGAGAGACTGAAGCAGGAAGATTATGAGCTCATGGCCATCCTTGGCTACCTGTATAGATCCTGTGTCAATCAAATAAGATAAACTATGGGTCTGTCAGGCTTCAGCAATATTACACAGCCTGCTCCAGTTCAAAGGCAGAAGTGTTCTAGGGTTACTATTGCTGTGATGAAATGCCACGAGCAGGGCAACTCTTATAAAAGAAATCATTTAACCGGAGTAGCAGCTGAGAGCTTACATCCTGATCTCTATGCAGGAGGTGGAGCGGAAGGGGGGTGGAGGAAGAGGGAGAGAGGGGCGGCTAGGCCCGGTGTGTGCTTTTGACACAATGCTTCTGATAAGGCCACATTTGTAATCCTGCCTAAGCAATCCGCCAACTGGGAACCAAACATTCAAATATGTGAACCTATGGAGGCCATTCTCATTTAAACCACTGCAAGGGGTAATTAACCCAGTAGAAAAACAGTATCCATGGGCTAGAGAGGTGGCTCAGTGGTTAAGAGCACTGTCTGCTCCTCCAAAGGACCCCCGGGGTTCAATTCCCAGCACCCATATGGCAGCTCACAACTGTCTGTAATGCCAATTCCAAGGGATCTGACACCTTCACATTAATGCACATGAAATAAAATTAAATAAGTTATTAAAAAAAAAAAAAAAAAGAAGAGAAAAAGTATCCAAAACACCCTAGCAGGGGTCAGGCCATTAAGAGATTGAGAGAACTACTTGGCCAGAATACATAATCTTTGTGCTGTAAAGTAGGACATATATTGTACCATGCAGAATTTAAATTTCAAAAAATGTATTTATAATCCCAGCTTGTGGGAGGATGACAGAGAAGGATTCTAAGTTTGAGATTATCCTGGATTTCCTAGAAAAACCTTGTGTAAAAAAAAAAAAAAAGTATATATGTGTGTGTGTGTGTGTGTGTGTGTGTGTGTGTATGTGTGTGTTTTCTTGTGAAATACATGAGAAATCTATGATGTGTTTTTAATATTGGAAATATTTTTTTTTTTTTTAGTTTTTGAAACAGGGTTTCTCTTTGTAGCCCTGGTTGTCCTGGAACTCACTCTGTAGACTGGACTGGCCTGGAACTCACAGAAGTCTGCCTGCCTCTGCCTCCTGAGTGCTGTGGGCTGCCACCACCCAGCTTGAAATACATTTTATAAAGAAATTTTACTTAGCTCTCAATAGTATTGGCATAAGACAAAATTATTATGGGTTAGAGATTGATTTCCTTGTTTCACAATCTTGAGCCACTTGGTAAAGGGGAAGTTCTCATCCATAAAGCTAGGACATGTCCGGGGGTTTTTTGGATCAGCCGTCTATCTCTGAAAATCCTTAGCAAGGCATTGTCTGGTACCATGTGGTCATGGTGTGCATGGTGTGGTCAGGGGAAGGCACCTCCCGTGAGAGGGTTTCTCTCTGGAGCCCTGGCTGTCCTGGAATTCTGTAGACCAGGCTGGTCTTGAACTCACAGAGGTCTACCTGACTCTGTCTCTCGAGTGTGGGGATTAAAGGCGTGCACCACTACTGCCTGGCTCCTGTGAGCTTCATATAAAGCACTTCTATGTCTGCCTTCTGATGGGTTAGAACAGATCTTGGGAAATGATGACGGTACGTGTCCATCACACCAAGGGTAGAAAACTCAAATAACACTTGGTAGAGACCTCCACTGGCTTGTTGGTATTTGTGACCAGGAATGCCAGATTTAAACCTGACCTCGAGGCCTCCTTCCACAAGGGCTCCTAGGCAAAGGGCTGTGTATTTAAGTACTGGAACGTAGGTCTTTCACAGATCCTCAGTCATGCTGCCTCCCAGAGAAGCCACGTGAGCCTTGCAGCACTGACCAGGCGACTTTCCACTCCAAGCCCAGGGTGAGCTCCTTGCGCCCCTGGGCAGATAACTGTATATTGTGATTTTGACTATCATGTCCTTCAGGACATGCTTATGGTTCCCCCTATTTATAAAAATTATCTGAGCAGAAGTGGAACATGTGAGTTAAAGGTTACTTTGAAATTAAGTTATGTTCATCTAGAGAATTTTTGTTTTTTTTGAGATAAGTTTCACTATGGAGGCCTTGGCTGGCCTGGAACTCACTGTGCAAACCAGTCTGGCCTCAAACTCTCAGAGATTCTTCTGCCTCGGCCACCTGACTTCTGGAATTAAAGTTGTGTGTCACCTGCGAGAATTTTTAAAAGATTTATTTACTTTTTATGTGTATAAGTGTTGGCATGTGTGTCTGTGCGCCGAATGTGTACCCAGGGTACATGGAAGTCAGAAGGCGTCGGATCCTCTGGAACTGGAGTTAGATGCTTGTGAGCCACCATGTGGGTGCTGGGAACTGAACTTGGTTCCTCTGGAAGAGCAGACAGTGCTATTAACTAATGAGCCATCTCTGCAGCCACCCAAGAATTTTTTTTTTTAAAGTTGGAACAAATGAAAAATCCACCAGTGGTGCCATTTCTTCTATACTCTTATCAAATTTAAATTCTTACAAGTCTTGAAGGCAGAAAAAAATGTTATCGTTTATATTTGGTGTCTGAAGTTCCTTTGGTTCTACACTCCAGAAGTGTTCCAATGAACACTTCCTCCTCCTGCTGGTTAGCACGATGACATCACAAGGCTTCTTAACCTGAAGCAAATTCTGGACACCGTTGAGAAGTGGGGTGTAAAGTGGAGGACTGTGAGCAGGCAAGAGCAGGGGCCATGTTAGTGCTTCTGGCTTTGCCACTATGTTGAAGCCACGCCTACCTTCTTCTTCCTTAACTGTAGTTCTGTCTTCTCTGCCACTATGTTGATGCCACACCTACCTTCTTCTTCCTTAACTGTAGTTCTGTCTTCTCTGCCAACAATTCTACGCCATGCTCCTGAAAAAGGCCATGTTCTCTTGGCGCAACTGGATACTGGTGTTACTTGTACAGATTGTGTTGCCTCTGGTGATCATCATGTTAAGCCTCACTTTTTTCAACTACAAATTAAAGAGAGTGGAAAACATACCGTTGGAGCTAACTTTAAAAACATACGGGCAGACTATTGTTCCATATTTTGTTTCTGCGAATTCCCACTTAGATCCTTCACTCACAGATAAATTTGCAGAGATGCTTCTGGCTGCAGGACAGATTCCTTTGAATATTCAAGGTAAGTGCCAGGATAAGGGGGCTGAGCTGGAAGTGGGCCTGTCTTTCTTTGCAGGGAAGCTGTGTCTTTCTGGACCACATCATGCCCTCTAAGTCAGACTGAACAACTGGAAGCCTCAGAAAAGTGCCATTTAGACTCTAGATGACAGGAAGTAGATGGCTTCTAGAGATGAGGCCATATGTGTCTCCCTAGAGGTTATGGTGTCCCCATGTCACTGCGGCACACCCTTGAAGGGGATGGTTAGACCCCAGAACCTTCCTCTTCCTTTCCCATATCCTGTCCACAAGGAGTCTAGTTCGTACTTCCCCATCCCCCTTTCATGACACTCCACCACAGGCCCAATGCAACAGGGCTGACTGACCATCAACTGAGCTATTAGCTAAAACAAACCTTTTTTCTTTATAAATTGATTATCTCAGGTATTTGTTACAGTGACAGAAAGCTGGCTTAATATATTATGCTTATAAAGCTTCAGTTTCTTCGTACATCAAATTGGGAGAACCCTGTTGTGTAGTATCTTTGGAACAATTTATCATGAACATATTATATAGTTGGTGTCCAGTCTATAATGTCATTGTTAATTTTTTTAGAAGACTAAAGGTCTTTTTTTTTTTTCAGCTTTAAAGGTTCTAAAAGTATAAGTAGATTGTATACGTAGATTGTATACAGGTAGATTGTAATAGACATATCTCAGCTTTGGAGGATCAGAGGAAGCCCATGGCAAGACCCTGCCACCTGAATAGGAATTGCCTGGTATAAAGGAAAGATAATCAAAGGCATTCCAAACAATACAAGGAACTGCAAGCCTAAGGGACTCTAAGATCATAGGTATAATGAGAATTCGAAAACATGAGACCAAGAGTCTGGATAGTGATTAAATAAAATAGTTTCCTCTTACTTTGTTACCCTGCAACAAAAAAGAAAGTAGAGGTTTATTCTGGCACATGGGCTGAGTTGAGAAGTTCAAGAATGAAGTATCTTCTATTTGCTTCTGAGAAGAGCTTCATGTTGTATGTTGTAACGTGCTGGACAGGAGGAAGGGATTTCATGAAAGAAGAAGCCAAATCCGCTGTCATAATAACTCGGTTACCATAACAAACCACCTCCAAAGAGAATTGACTTGCTCCCACTAGTGCCGCAATAACCCTTACGGATGAAGCATCCCTGCCCACAAAGTCATCCACGTCAAAGTTCTCAGCACCTTTCCGTGCTATTATACTGGGGACTGACTTTGTATATATGGCATCCAAGCCATAACACAGAAAATGACTTCTAAACGAGGCATCATGGCATGTGCTTTTAATCTCAGCACTCATTAGGCAAAGACAGGCCAGTCTCTGTGAGTTTAAAGCCAGCCTGGTCTATACAGTGAGTTCCAGGACAGCCTGGGCTACATAGCAAGACCCCGTCTCAAAAACACATGACTAAAACAAAACATAAAGTGAATATATCCATGTGGCTTTGCCCGGAGGTCAGAGTCACTGCAAGTTGGCAGGCAGGAGTATGCTGTTATTAGGTGTGTCCTTTCACACCACATATGCAGAGACTGTATGTGGGTCGCCTCTTCCCCGGAGGGCTGTTGGCCACCAGCCCACGAGGACAGGAGGAACAGAGGCACGCCACAGGGCTCAGAAGGCTGTGAACACAACGTTATAGCCTCTGGGAACCACTTCAGAAAGATAGCCCAGCTTTGTTTGGGGTAAACAAAGACTTCATGGTGCTTGGGGAGTGGGGGGGGGGGTCACAGGATAGGTGTACATAATTGGTTAAGGCTAGGAAATTTAGTGACAGTTGATTTGCATTTGGAAGCACACACCTATCTTATGAACCGGAACACAATACCTAATTATACTATAGGTGCAGGGAGGGGAGAGCTAGCAGAGAACTATGCCAAAGGCCATCTGTGCCTAAAGACATTCCCCAGATAAGGTCAAGCAGAGAGTCAGAGGCCCTGCTGCAGAAAGGGAATCCACCATCGCGCCGAGCTCAGAAAGGCTATCTAGAAACCTCAAACATCAGGGTCCTCCAACAACTGTATAGAAGGTGAACAGTTTTGTTTGGGACCACATGGTCCCAGAAGACAATGGGGCGAGACCTGGTTGATGTGGTAGGAAGGAAAGAAGTAGCTGGAATCAAAAGGACTTAAGAGATGGAGGTTTGGAAATCAGCTGGAACTCAATAGAGACCAGGGCAGGAAGAAGCCAGCTCTTGGATATGTGTAAGTTAGTGATGGGTACCCCAAAGGAGCAGAAGATGAGGGAGGCCCATGATGAGTGCACTGTGTGCCATTGGACCCGGTGTGATATTTGCTCAGCAATTCTCACTGCCTAGTGTGCCTTTGCCTTCCTTTCTAGAACCTGTTGAGGGCTTCCTACTACAAAAGGCAAAAGAGGCTCCTGAAGACTTTGACAAGCGCTATGTGATGGCAGCTTCATTTGAAGGGGGGAAGAACCACACTACAGTGAAGGCACTGTTCAACAACCAGGCATACCATTCCCCCGGCCTGGCTTTGACCCTGGTGGACAATATTCTCTTCAAGTTGCTTTCTGGTGCCAATGCTTCCATCACCACAACCAACCATCCTCAGCCTCTGACAGCCAAAGAGCAATCAGAGAGTATCTTGTACCAGTATGTGACACTTCCCCCCTCCCAACTCCAGGCTTACATGTCTGTGGGTCTTCTTGCTTTTCCACCTATTTCTTTCTTTGTCTCATTTTAATTTCAAGTGATTGTGTTGGAAGAAGGCTGCTATTCACAGTTGCCCCGTGTTCTGTCTTTTATAGGGGCCCCAAAGGCCACTACCTTGTCATCAACCTTCTCTTTGGGATAGCTTTCCTGACAAGCTCTTTCTCCATCCTGGCAGTCATCGAGAGGAGCATTAAGTCTAAGACCATCCAGTTTTTAAGCGGAGTCAGTGTGGTTGCTTTCTGGCTCTCTGCTCTGCTATGGGATCTCATCTCTTTCCTCATTCCCACTCTGCTGCTAGTGGTGAGTACCGGTGTGATGTAGCTTCCTGCAGACCATGAGCTCCCCTTACAGCCCCGTCTGCAGAACCAGAACCAGCTGGGAAGTTTAACTAGTAGGTAGCTCAGGCCTGACTGGAATGGTGGATGGATAGGAAAGCTCTCTCATCACAAACCCCAGGGGCAAGTTCATTTAGCTTTGATATCTTCCGGCACAGGGTGCCTTGCTCTGGGGGGGTTATGTAGCACCCACAGAGCTGCTGCATCAAGTCAATGAGAGACGGTTTTGGTTTTGGATATTATTCAGAAGTAGATAATCAGAGCACAGGGGTTGAAGTATTTGGTTGTGATTGAATACTCAGGGTTCCCTGAGTATTTTGTGCAGAGTTGGTCATTTCCTGCTTTGTTCTCTCTCTCTCTCTCTGCCTGTGTGTTGGGGAGGAGTGGTTTCTTTCTTTCTTTCTTTCTTTCTTTTTTTTTCTTTCTATTTTTTTTTTGGTTTCTCTGTGTAGCCCTGGCTGTCCTGGACTTACTTTGCAGACCAGGCTGGCCTCGAACTCACAGAGATCCGCTTGCCTCTGCCTCCCTGAGTGCTGGGATTAAAGGCGTGCGCCACCGCGACCAGCTTGCTCTGTGTGTTTAATATGCATCTCTTCATCCTTTATTGTATTGCACTGTTACTGATAATCAGAGTTTGCTCATTAGTTAATGCTTGTGAGGCGTAGTTTACACCTTGCTTTAAACCCTGAGACCATGGGGAAGTGAGCCGGCTCAGTGAGTAATGGTGCTCACTCACAGGCCTTATGCCCTGGGCACAAGATGGCAGGAAGAACCAACTCCAAAGAGCTATCCTCTGTCCACACACACCCCTGGCACACAAGCAGTGCCTCCACTCAGACAAATACATACAATAATTAACGCTGAAATCACTGTATTGTTAGCACTTAGGATGACCTCTTACTGACTTTTTCAAAATTTTCCCTTTCTTAAGTTGGTGTTCCTGTGGTATAAGGAGGAAGCTTTTGCACACCCTGAGAGTGTCCCGGCGGTGATCTCCATAATGATGCTCTATGGCTGGGCTGTCATCCCTCTCATCTACATAGTCAGCTTCTCTTTTAAGACTCCCGGTAGCGCATGTGTTAAGCTTGTGGTAATGCTCACCTTCTTGAGCATCAGCCCCTTTGTGCTTGTCACGGTCACAAGTGATAAAGGTGAGATCACACCTATGTTTTGAATAAAGCACTCTTCTCTCTTGTAGCAGCCACAGCAGTTAACACCCACAAAAATGTGTGTCTGCCAAAGGCCCAAGAGGGAATGTTCTAGCTGCTATGGGCTGAAGGTTTCCAACTGGAGTGTGCCAGATACGTGGATGGACAAACAGTGCAAGCACACTCACTCGGTAGATTATTGCTCAGCTGGAAAAAGGAACAATGTTCAGCTAAAAAAGTTTGCTGTATCCTATGTGAAGTCCATGAACAGACAAAATGAACCCTGGAAACAGAATCAGAAAAAGGATTTGCCTCTGGGTTGGGAGTGTGGGCTAGGAAGAGCTGACCAAAGGGGAATGCAGAGATGTTTGTGAACTGGGCACTAATTTACATGGACTTACGTACTTACTAATCATTGTCCAGCTGTGGTCTAAGAATTTCACTAAAATGCAGTGTTCTTTAATTAAAAAAATAAGTAAATAGTCAGATTGGAGGAAGCATTCTTCTTAAGTAAAAGAAACTAAGATTGAGTCATTAATTTACAGCACACACACTTGAAACTGACAGTTTCATGTTTATGCTCCCGTCTCTGGTCAGGGTTGGACAGAAGGGCTGATAGGCTGCCTCTGCATTCCTCTTTTTATTAGAACTTACTGTATGTGTGTGTGTGTGCACATATGTGGGGTCACATGTCGGAAAGAAGGCATCAGGTCCTCGGCAACTGTGGTGACAAGTGGTTTGTGAGCTATCAGACATTGTTGATGGGAACCAAACTCCAGTCCTCTGTAAAAGCACAAGGTTCTTAATTGCTGACCATCAATCCAGAGCCTTCATTTGTGCCTCCCAACTCCTTCAGATTGACTTTACTTCCCTTCCTCTTTTTCCTTTGTGTTTAAAAGTAATTTTTTATTTGGGGGCTTGGTGAGATGGGACAGCAGCTAAGAACTCTGGCTGCTCTTCAAGAGAACCCAGGTTTTATTTTCAGCACCCACACGGTGGCTCACAGATGTCAGACCCCCTCCAGTCTGAGGGGGTCTAATGCCCTCTTCTAGCCTCCAGGGGCACTGCATACACATGATATACAGACATACATGCAGGCAAAACATTCATATACGTAATTTTTCATCAAGAAAAATTATTTTATGTGTGTCTTTGCCTGAATGACTATATGTACATCACTGACATGCCTGGTGTCCACAGAGGACAGAAAGGATGTCAGATCCCTTGGAACTGGCGTCACAGTGCTGTGAGCTGCCATGTAGGTGCTGGGAACTAACTCGAGATCACCTGTAAAAGCAGCAAGTGCTCTTAACAACCGAGCCAGCTCTCCAGTCCTTCTCCTTACGCTTCACTTGACATTTGATTTACAAGTTCCCTTTTCTTTTATTTGGGGAATTGTCCTCTCACCCAAGGGACCCTTATTGACAGTTTAAGTCTCTATAAACTATGGAGGAAGGGATTGCATACTCTTTGTCTGACTTCAAGATGACACTCCCAGAGCTGGTGATGTGGTAGAATGCTTGATTAGCATGAGTGAGGCCCTAGGTTCAAGACTAGTATGGGGAGGGAGGGGATTGGGGAACAAAACACCTCAGTAACTCCAACACTGGCTCCCACGCCCTGTTCTTTCTGGCTCAGCTAACCTCCAACCCACACTCCTCCACCTTTTCACCTCTGTTCGCTCAGCCCTGCTCCCTCTGATGTTCTCAGACACAGTGTGCTCTTTAGTTTTACCTGCAAGAACAGGGTAATTGAAGTAGAGAGACAGATTCCAGGAACTAACCAAAGTACTCAAATCCTAGAGGTTGGATGAATAGAGGGGAAGTCAGCACAAGCAGTCAGGAAACCATGGTGCTGGTCTGGAGACCTGAGACTGGGATGGTCCAGACTATAGAAGTGAGTCAGGTGAGATGTTGAAGTGTGCACTTTCCCTCATGCAAGTAAATTTGGTGCTTTCTGTTCTCTTCGCAGAGCTTGGCTATGCAAAAATCTCAGACCTCTTGGATCATATATTCCTAATACTTCCCGGACATTGCCTGGGAATGGCTTTTTCCAACTTGTACTACAACTTTGAACTTAGAAAGTTTTGCACTGCTAAGAGCTTGGATGATATTGACTGCAATGATGTTTGTAAGTTCTGTAAATAAAATTTGCTGATAATATTTTATCCTGATATGATTTACGTAATATTATTTGGCCTTTCTTTGTTTTCCCTATGTTTTTGAGACATGATTTCTCTGTGTACCTTGGCTGTCTTGGAACTCGATCTGTAGGCCAGGCTAGCCTAGAACTCAGAGATTCTTCTGCCTCTGCCTCCCAACTGCTGGATTAAAGGCATGTACCACCACCTGGTTTAATTTGGTCTTTTTGAGACAAAGATCTCACTTTGTATCCCTGACTGTTCAGGAATTTACTTTTTATACCAGGCTAGCCTTGAACTTGCAAAGATTTACCTAGTTACAGGTCTGTGCTACCCTGTCAAAATGTAATTCATTGCAACCCTTTTATATGAAGTGACATGGTATTTTCATATAAGCTGTGCATATTAGCACATTCTCTGTCTCTGTCTGTCTTTGTGTGTGTGTGTGTGTGTGTGTGTCGCTTAGGATCTAATACAGAGCCTTGAGCATATTAGACAAGTGTTCTACCACAGAGCTATGCCCTAGTCTGCTAACTCATACTTTAAATTATCTCTAGATTTCTTAAAACACATAATACAGTGTAAATGCTATGTAAATACTAGTTACACTATATTTTAAAATGACAGATAAAACTATAGCTATTTAGTACAGATACAGTTTTTATTTTCTGAAAAATTTTCACATTGTTTGAAGCCAACAATAGGTTCAACGTTGCAGAACCTATGAATACAGAGAGATAACTATACTGTACCATTTATAAGGGACCCAGGAAGACAGTAACACACAGACCAACAGGAGACTAGTTAACAAACTGTTGAACACCTGTACAGTAGAAAATGACACAATTATCAAAATGTTATTTCATCTGTATATTTCATGTGGTCACTGTCTGTTATATATTATTAAATGAAAAAAGTACATTGGAGAAGTTAATACATAATTTTATTCCATTTTCATTTTAAAAGATAGTGTCTGGGCCAATGATATGATTCAGTGGATAAAGGTGTTTGTTGCCAAGCCTGATGACCTAAGTTTGAACCCTTGGACTCACTTGGTAGAAGAAGAGGATGAATTTTCACAAATTGTCTAATCTCCAAATGTGCCCACCCTTTGGGTTTACACACATAAAAAACAAATAAATAAATAAGTGTGATATTAAAAATTAAGGGCTAAGCTAGGCATGGTGGTATACACCTTTGATAGCGGCACTCAGGGAGGCAGAGGCAAGTGGATTGCTGTGAGTTCAAGGCCAGCCTGGTCTACAAAGTAAATCCAGGACAGCCAAGGCTACACAGAGAAACCCTGTCTTGAAAAACAAACAACAACAACAAAAAAAACTAAGGGCTGGAGAGATGGCCTAGCTCAGTAGTAATTTGACTAAAATGCATGATGCCCTGAGTTGGAGCACCTATACTACGTAATCAAAATTAAAAGTATGAAAGAATTATGTACAACACTATGCAATCATTACAATGTTTAAGGAAATGGAAAAGTACTCTCACTGCTTATGTCATTCCCTTTTATTTTTCCCAAATGAGCATATATCTATTGTATAATTTTAAAATACACATCCTTACAAAAATTTAAGACGGATCAGATGAAAAAGAGAACAGAGCCCTTGCCAGTGGGCTTTGTTTGGCGTGATTCTGCAGTGCTGGATGGAACCTCAGGGTCTCCTGAATGCTGACCAAGTGTTTTCCCACTGAGTTGACCCCCAGTCTCCTCCTGAGGTGTTTCTACATGAGTGGTCAGTTCAGCTTCAGGCGGACTGATGATTGAAAGGACAATCAAACATATAAGTATTTTGGGTTTTAGATAAATGTCATATAAACAAGAAAAAAATCTTGTCTTGTTATTAATGTTTTTTTGGGTTTTTTTTGCCACAACATGCTAAGCATACTTTACCACTGAGCTACTTTTTCAAGCTCTCGTATTTTTAATTGACAAACATTATATGTATTTATACACTCAATCTTTTATGGTGTTCCTGTGTATTTTCATGTTATGTGTGTGGGTGTTTTGCCTGCATGTATGTCTGTGTGATCCCCTGAAACTGGAGTCACAGACAGTTGTGAACTGCCGTGTGGGTTCTGAAAATTGAACCAGGGTCCTATGCAGGAGTGACCAGTGCTCTTATCCACTGAGCCATCTCTCCAGGTCCCTTGTTGTTTTTTGAAAATAATGGTTTTTTTTAAAGGAAATTTTATGTCTACTTTATTAATTAATATATGGGGAACAAAAAGAAGAACACAAACTTATAAATTGAAACAGTAATGGTTTGGGTATCATAATTGGACACAAAATAATAATAATATTTGGTCAGTGCAGGAAAAAAATAACAAGGACTTAAATGTTTTCTAAAACCTAAAAAGAAACATGCTAATGAGAATATTTACATTGAACTAAGTAAAAATCCAGGACATAATTTTGATTGTTTACCGCCATCTTCTTAGCATTTAATATAATACATGATATATGGTCTGTAGCCAAGAAATATTTTTGAATGGGTGGTAAGATTATTTCCACTCTGAACTTTTTTCCTAGTTATCTGTTTGACCTGTTTGCTTCCTGTGGCAAATCACAAAGCATAATCTTAGAGCATAAGGAGATTAAACTGTGTAATATAAAACTCTTGGTAAATAGCAGATGGAAATTAGGCTGTCTGAGACATGTAACAGATATATGGAGCTTTTCAAAAATTATAAATTATTAAAAAAAGAATTCATATACTTCCATTTCCCTTCCATAATGACTCATATGAAATTACTAATCAGAAGCTGTCTCTGGCATGAACTCAGTGACAGGCTCTTTGATCACCTCCCTCTGGGGGGGGGGGGTGCAGCCTTGCCAGGCCACAGAGGAAGACAATACAGCCAGTCCTGATGAGACCTGATAGGCTAGGGTCAGATAGAAGGGGAGGAGGACCTCCCCTATCAGTGAACTAGGGGAGGGGCATAGGGGGAGAAGAGAGAAGGGAGGGTGGGATTGGGAGGAGACAAGGGAGGGGACCACAGCTGGGATACAAAGTGAATAAAATGTAATAAATAATAATAATAATTTAAAAATAAAGAAAGAATCTATAAGCTAAGATCAAATCTTATGAAGACACCAATTTTAACATATAAAAATAATGTTTTTATTTTTTGAGAATTTCATAAAATATTTTTATCTTATTCTTTCCCCTCCCCCAGCTCCTTCCAGATCTTTCCCTCTCTCCCCACCTATCTAACTTTAAGTTCTTTCTCTTTAAAACAAACAAACAAAAAACAAGCATAGAGTCCAGATTGTGTTGGCTGATTATTTCTGAGCATGGAGCCTGCCCAGATGTGTAGTTGATATACCCAGTGTTGTTCCATTGAAGAAAACTCATTTTTCTTCTAGAAGTTATCAGTCTCAAATAGCTTCCTGGTTAGGGGTGGAACTTCCTGTCTGCTTCTCCTCCTCTGTGTTGGGATTTTGTCTGCTTGAGCTTGTGCAGGTCTTGTTCGTGCTGTCACAGCCTGTTCCCTGTTGTGTCTGGAAAATGCAGTTTTCTTGACATCATCCACCACCTCTAGCTCTTATGATCTTCTTGCCTCTTCTTTTGCATGGATCACTGAGCATGGAGGAGATGTGTAATGTAAACATTTCATTTAAGGCTGAGTATTCCAAAGCCTTTTTTTTTTTTTTTAATTCTTAAGATTTATTGTCAAGTATATGAGGATTTTGCATGCATGTATATATGCATAGCTCATGTGTGTCCCATGCCCTCAGAGGTCAGAAGAGAACATCAGACTCCCTAAAACTAGAGTTACTGATGATTCTAACTCATTCGATGGGTGCTGGATTCAAACCCAGTTCCTCTGCTAGAGTAGCAAGCATTCTTAACCAGTGAGCCATCTCTCCAGCCCCCCAAAGTCTTTTATGCTATGTAATAGTCTCTGCAGAGACTGTTTCTCTTTGCAAGCATGCAGAGAGTGAGACTCCATGCTAATTATCACCTACTGCAGAAGAACCTTCTCTGATGAGGGTTGAGCAATGCATTGATCTATGTGCATAACAATGTGTCATTAGGAGTCATTTGATTGCTACATTCATTTAGCAGAAGAGTAGTAGTAGGTTTTCTCCTAGGGCTTATGACATCATTTAGTGTCAAGTTTTTGGATGCTCTTTTGTTTGTGTGTTTTTGTTTTGTTGTTTTTTAAGACAAGAGTCTCATATATGTCACAGGATGTCCTTGAACTGCTACACAGTCCAGACTGGGCTCACGTTTATGGCAGTTCTCCCATCTAGGTACTGTGATTGCAGGTGTGACCCACCATGCTCTGCTACTTGCAGTGTTTTTATACAGCATTAGTTGAAGCAAGGAAAAGTACTCTTGCTTACCATTTGCTAGGATGTGGCCATAGCACTGATAACAATGATGTTTCTTTTAGTAATATTTGATACTTATGGGAATTTACTTGCCATATGTATAGATGAGTAATACCTTTGAAAATCCCCAAAGAAAAAATTTTGAAAATAAAAAAGGTGTGCTAACATCTGTTTATTTCATATTAGCAGAAGGATATGTAGTGCAAAAGAACACCTATGCCTGGGAATCTCTCGGCATAGGGAAGTACCTGACAACCCTGGCCATCTTGGGACCTGTGTACATCACCCTGCTTTTCCTCATTGAAGCCAATGCATTTGGCGTCCTGAAATCCAGGCTTTCTGGCTTCCCTGGGAAGAAAAAAACAGTGAGTAAATTGGGGTTAATGTAGTGAGAATTTTGGTTTATTTAAAAAACAGAAATAAGCCAAGGTTACACAGAGAAACCTTGTCATGAAAATAAAAAAAAAAACAACAACAACAAGAAAAAACAAAAACAAACTTCACAGAAATATTATAAGAATATGTTTTTTTGTTTTAATCCCAGTTGCGGGTATACATACGGGACTGCTTCACAGAGCTGGGTATGATTTGCCTCATGCTCTAGCAGAGGCATGATTTTGATGTTTGGAATTCTGGGGACTTATCAGAGGGTATATAACTATGAGAGCCCTGAGAGGTATGGGGGGTGTTGTTGGTCAAGGTTTGTTAAGTAACCATTCACAAAGAAACAACAAGAAGAAATTAGACATCCTGGAGGTGAACATCAAACTTGCCCCAGGGAACTCCGCACCCCTAATCAACAGGAAGTAGTCTAACGATAACATCTTCCCCCTTTCCAACCTCTGGCTTTATTCAGGGATAGCTTTCCTTTTTTTTCTGTCTTTTTTTTTTCTTGATTATCTCATATTAGGGGCTGAAAGGGTGGAAGAAAAGTGGTGGAAAAGGGTGGAAGAAAGAAGAACCTATAACGTATCAAATGCCAGTTACAGGCTAAGTCACATAACCTGTCAAAGCCTGGCTCTAAGCTACCTTCCTGTGTTCTTTAGCTACTTTGATTTTCCAAAACAGAGGCCATTCAGCCATCTGTTTATAATCTCAAGGCAGAGAGGTGACATCCCATTTTTAGGGACCCCAGAGGAGGAGACTCTGACTCAGCCCCTGAGACCCTGGTCCACATACTGGTCACCTGGTGAGGTGTAAGGGCCAGCTCCTCAGCTGAGAAGGAACAAGACCCTGGCTTGCTAGAACAAAATTCACCTTATGAAACACCTCTGCAGTCAACCATGAGCAGACTAGAGAAGGTCTGTCCTGTTAGCTCATGGAGGCCAAGGTCTCAAGAGAAAACTGGAGGAGATAGGCTTTTGTTACATTTTGATATTCCTGGCCTGTAAATTTGTTTTCTTCAAAAGTGATGCTTTGTGATTTGCCTGCCTGCCTGGTCGGGTTTAGATACTTAGACTGCTCCTGAGATTGCAGTGGTACTGTGTACTTGGGCACTGTGCCCAATTGTAGTACCTTCAGTGCGTACCAGAGGCCCCATTCCTTCTGACTCTGCTCAGGCTCTACCTTCTACCTTCAAAAACAGTTGGCATTTCTACCCTTGGTAATGTAGGAAATAATCCTCGATACAACAGAGCATGAAGATGACGATGTATTAGATGAGGAAGAAACCATCAAGTTTTATTTGGATTCATTACTAAAGAAAACGTCACTCATTGTCAAAGGCGTGTCAAAGGTAAAGTTAGACGCTACTTTGCTCTTTTATCTGTTTGTTTGATTTGAGACAGGGCCCTACTATGTGGCTGGCATAGACCTTGATTTCATGATCCTCCTACCTCTGCCTCCTGAACACTCTAGTTGCCAGTATATGCCATGTGTCTTAGGGTTTCTATTGCTGTGAAGAGACACCATGACCACAGCAACTCTTATGAAGAAAAACATTTAATTGGGCCTGGCTTACAGTTTCAGAGGTTCAGTCCATTATCATCATGGCAGGAAACATGGCATTGTGCAGAGAGATGTGGTGCTGAAGAAGAAGCTGAGAGTTCTGCATCTTGATCCACAGGCAGCAGCAGGAGACTGTGTGCCACAATGGGTGTAACTTGAGCGTCGGAGACCACAAAGCCCAGCCCCACAGTGACACGCTAACTCCAACAAGGCCTCACCTATTCCAACAAGGCCATACCTCTAATAGTAGCACTCCTTATGGCCAAGCATTCAAACATATGAGTCTATGGGGGCCAATCCTTTTCACACCCCCACATGCTGCTTGGCTCTTATCATTGGCTTTAAAAAGCCAAGACTACTTTTCTTGTGGACATTATTTACACAGAGTCTGCCTTCTGATGGACTTGTGGCCTGTGTACAGTGGCAGATGGGCTTCCAGGAAGACAGACTTAGTGAGGTTTTTCTGCTTGAGAATGAAGCTCACCTGAGTTCCTTTTTACACCCAGAGACAGAGACTATTATAGCTCTCCAGCCTCTTCTGTAATCACCTGGAGAAGAGAGCCTGAGATAGGAGGGAATGAGAACCATGCTTGCTAAAAAACCCGAGAAAAAAATGGCAGGACATAATTGGCTTGACCTCTCCTGTATCCAACAGCATCTGTGGAGATTCCAAGTGAGATAGGGGCTCTGGAAGCTAAGTGGAGCCTCCCAAGTTTCTCTGAGATTCTTAGGAAGAATTCTGAAAGATTTTTCAAACACTCATGTATTTTGTAGAATCCCCCTCTCCCCCCAAGTTTGTCTGTCATGTTTCCCTTCAGTTTCTGGTGGTTAAGGGAAACAAACAACATCGGAGAGTTTTATGTGCTCAGGGACAAAGAGAAACTTCTTTACTCCAAGAAGTAAGTTCACCGTGGGCAGGGGACGTAGGAAGGAAACTCAGAGGCCTTGTGGAGCAGTCACTGGAAGGAAGGAGGAGGTGGTCTGGGTGATGAGAGGCTGCTGGGTCAGGTGTGCAGCGGCTGCTGACTGCCTTCCTCCTGTCTGCATTTCTGTCCTGTGTCTCTCAGGTATATAATGAGAAGGTGCCCCAGCTGGCTGTGAACAATGTGTCCTTCATGGTCAAAGAGAAAGAATGCTTTGGCATTCTCGGCCTCAACGGAGCTGGGAAGACTTCCATTTTCAGCATGCTGGTAGGGGAGCAGCCGATCACTGCAGGGGATGTCTTTATCAAGGGTTTCAACAACAAGTCTCACCTGGCCAAGGTGGGTGTAGCCTGGAACAGAGCTTGGGGACTGATAACAGGATTCAGGGGCACGAAGCTTGGAACTTGGTCTCTAAAAAGCCCAGGTGTCCATTTCATTTGCAGTCCCCAAATCTAAATATGCATTACAGATGCTTCTCTGCACAGCCGGTCAGAGGCCTAGCTTCTCACACACCACTGTCTGTCAAGTGCCTACAGGAACCAGAAACACAGTGAGCCCCACGGTGTCTCCACCCACCCCCTTTGTCATTACTCCTCCTCCTTCCGTCCTTCCTTAGCCATGAGAGGAATACACATCCGCCTGCCATTCAAGGTACCATCCAAGTAGTCCAGTTGGCAGCCATGGTCCGTGGAGACTCCCACCAAAAACCCCTCAGATCTGTTCTCTTGAACCCATTTCTATGATAGTCTGTATCTTCCTTATTTCTCTGTAGAACTTGGTAGTGCTGGCCTTTTCCAACTTCAAGCCTAAGCCTTCTTTTGCTTATCCTATAGCTTCCCTCTCTCTATCACTAACAATTCTTCCTCATACTTGTTTAGTAATCTTTTGTTTTGTTTCGAGACAGGGTCTCATGATGTAGCCCAGGCTGACCTTTGTGATCCCAAGCATTGGGATTATAGGCACGTGCCAGCATACCTGGCTCCTTGGGGAGATCTTTATCTGTTCCCGGTAGTTGCAGTGTTCCTAAGCGCTGTGCACACATCCCACTGTCCTCATAGTCTGTCCCTGCTAGGTCCCCAGCACCGTCCACTCGCTGATGCTTCCCAAGTAGCCGCATATCCACACCAGTTCTAGCCCCGTGTGTCAAGTTGTAGAACTCAGCTTCCACAATTGTGCAGGCCAATCCCCATGATCTCTTTTATATGTCTATACATACATTGTATATGAAAGTGTACAGTGAGAAGATTTTTGTTTGGTTTGGTTGGTTACTTGTTTGTTTGTTTGTTTTTGAGACAGTGCCTCACTACATAGCCCTGACCAACCATGAACTTAGGCAGTTGCAGATGTCCTTCTGCCTCTGTCTCCTAGTTCTGGGATTTAAAAATATATGCCAGCACACCTGGCAGTGAAAAATGCTTAATATGTTTGTGGTTGAAGCCTAAAAGGAAGGAATACAAAATAATATTTGAAGCTCATAGCTAAAGTTTATCTAACATTGTAAAAGACTATAAAAAGATTATAAATAAATGAATCCCTGCTAACCCTAAACAGGGATGAATAAAAAAGAAATTATCTCTAAGGAACACTGTTACAGTAAAACTTCTGTAAACCAAACATGAAAAAGAAAATCTAGGTAACCCATCAATAAAAGGTGGTTTGCCCAAACAGGAACAATGTTTAGGTTGCAGAAGCAAGAGGCCAGAGAACAACACCAGTGTAGGAAATAGCCCATCATAGAGGGGTGACACATTGCATCTTCAAGAACCAATTCTTCGTTTCATTGTGTCTTTGTAAATTTTTTTTCATTTCTGTTTCGGCCCCGAGTTTGGTTATTTGTTCCAATCTTACTCTAGCTGGGTGTTGTTTGTGCTTGCCTTTTGAACGTGGCATTAAATTGCCAATGTGAGAGCACTTAGTTCCTGATGTAAGCACTGAATATTGCAAATGTTCCTCTCTGCACTGCCTTCACTGTGTTCGGTAGACTAGGGTCTGCTGTGTCTTCACTTTCATTCTATTCTAGGAAGTTTTTAGTTTCCTTCTTGATTTCCTCCTTGACACATTTTCATTTGTATGTGTTGTTTAGTTTCCATAACTGTGTGTTTCTTGCCATTTCTATTGTTGTTGGTGTTCATTCCTTTGTAGCCAAATAAAATGCAAGCTGTCATTTCAATATTCTCATATTTACTGAGTCTCTTTGTGTCCTATTATGTGGTCAGTTTTGGAGAGAGTTTATGGGCTTCTGAGAAGGTAAATGTGTTTGGTTCTTTTTAGTTATGATATTATCTGACTCCAGAGTTTCTCTACTTAGTTTATCCGTATGACCTGTCTGTGGGTGTATGTGCAGTACTGAAATCATCCACCATCACTGCATTAGGGTCTACCTGTAGTTTTAGATTTAATGCTGTTTCTTTATTACCTCTTCTGACTTGTTTTGGTACAAAGTTTTAGTGGCTTTTTTTTTTTTTTGACAGGGTTTCTCTGTGTAGCCCTGGCTATGATGGAGCTTACCCTGTAGACCAGGCTGGTCTCAAACTCAAAGATGCCTCAGCCTCCTGAGTGCTGGGATTAAAGGTGTGTGCCACCAGCCCCTGGCCAGAGATTCTTTTCTGGCCCTGTTTGGTGTTTCTGTAGTCCTCCTGCAGTTTGATAGGTATTTCTTTAATTAGACTTGGGAAATTTTCTTTTATGATTTTGTTGAAATTTTTTCTGTGCCCACAAATCATTTTTATCTGAAAACTTTTAAAATCTTTATCAGACATTCTGCCTATTTTTATAGGCAGAGAAATCTCCAGTAGGCTGAATGAGAAATCTCCCAGTAGGCTCAAGTATTTGAAAGCTTAGTCCCTAATTAGTGGCACTGTCTGAGAAATCTATATAACCTTTAGGAAATACATTCTTCCTGGAAGAAATGCATCTTGGGAGCAGGCTTTGAGAGTTTATAGCCTTCCTCACTTCCAGTTCACTCTCTGCTTGTGTCTGTGGTTGATGTGATTGCTCTGCATCCTGCTCTATCTGTCTGATGCCATTCCTTCCTCACCATTAAGAACATTTCCTCTGGAATCATAAGATGAAATAAACTCTTTCTTCCATGAGTCATTTTTGGTCTTAGTATTCTATCACAGTGACAGAAAGTATCTTTGAGTTGAGTTATGATCTTTTTAAAATTAATCAATATTTATCTTTATGCATGGGGGTTTTGCCTGCATGCATATCTGTGGACCTCATGCATGCCTGGTGCCCAAGGGAGTCAGAAGAGGGCATTGGGTCCCCTAGGACAGAGTTGCAGACAGTTAGAAGTTGTTGTGTGCTATTGGGAATGAAGTCTGGTCCTCAGGAAGAGCAGCCAAGGCTCTCAATCACCAAACCACCTCTGCAACTCCAGGATATGATCTTTTTGAAGAGTCAAGCTGCCTTCCTTTTTCATCTTTCCTGCATTTCTGTGTTGCAAATTGTTCATCTGTCAGTTTGGACATCGCTTCTAGATTTTGGACAGGGGGAGAGGGGTCTTATTGAACAGCCTACACTTGAAGGACGAGTCCTGAGTAATATGAGGCAAAGGGAAAATGATATTTTGGAAGCAGATTCTGGGTCCCCTCCCCCTAACTAGGAAACTTTGGCTGAGACTGTTTTCAGTTTGCTCATTTTCTCCGTGACAACATAGCTTTCCCAGTATCCTTTCACCTCTTTCAAAGATTGCTGAAGCATTTCCTTTATTTCTCTTCAAGATGAAGTCTATTATTCGGACCCTCACTCATAAACTCTCCAAAGTAGAATCTCCACAGAAATCAGTGCTTCTAGCAGGAAAATATATTCCATAGTTGTTGAGTTGTTCGGTGGTCTGCAGAGACAAGTCCAAAAGATCAGACCCTGTGCCCTTGTGGATTTTACTTCTAGGAGCTCTGTCGGGTTCACACAGCAAATAGGAGCAAATCTTTGTTCTCCCCATAGAGAAAAAGAAAAGAAACCTTCTTGAAACATAAGAGAAAAATTCTCTTGTTTTTATTAATATTTTTGAGGTCCTTTTGCCTCTACCTCTCCAATGCCAGGATGACAGCTGTGTGCCACCATACCCAGCTCAGTCTTTATTACTGTTTTTATTTGGTACACAAGTAATTGGTTTCACTGTGAAAAGTATATATATGTATATGTATATCTATACTTTTATTTTTATTGGTTTTTATTTTCTCCCTTGCCCTCTCTCATCCCCTTCTTCCATATAAACAGCCCTTTTTATGGTTTTATCATGTATATTCATCTATTTTTGTTTTGGGTGGGTTGGTTGGTTAGTTTGGTTTGGTTTTTTGAGACAACGTTTCTCTGTGTAGCCTTGGACTAGCTTTGTAGATCAGGCTGTCCTCAAACTCTCAGCGATCTGCCTGCCTCTGCCTCCCTAAGTGCTGTGTTAAAGATGTGCACCACCACGCCCAGCTTATCCCACTACCTTTGAACCCTCCGTTAGCCTCCTTTCTGCCCACTCACAGTGTCCAGTCTTTCACATCACTCCCTCATGGATGTTGGATGATTGATAGATAGCACTGAATAATATGGTAGATTCAAACCCACATATACTAATACCCACAGTGAACAAAAAGAGACTCTGGCTGGATGTGGTGGCACACACTTACAGTCCCAACACTAGGAGGCACAGGCTTAAGATCTCCACAAGTTCTAATCAGTCTGGTCAACAAAGCAAGTTATAGACCAGCCGGGGCTACCAAGTCTCAAAAATAAACAAATAAAAAAACAGCACTGGGGAGATGGCTTAGCTGTTAAGAGTCCTTGCTGCTCTCGGAGAGGACCCCTTTAGCTCCTAGCACCCACATGGAAGCTCACAACCACCTGTAACTCCAGTTCCACTGGAATCAGCTCTTTACCGGCCTTCACAGGCACCTGCATGCATGTGGTACACATACACACACCCAGGCAGAGACGTAGGCAGGAAAAATGTGAATCTAGGTATGGAGAGACGGCTCTGCAGTTGAGAGCACTAGATGTTCTTCCGCAGGACCCAGGTTCATTCCCAGCGCCTCCATGGTGGTTCAGAGACACCTAAAACTCCACTGGCTTCTGCAGGCACCGCACCCATGTGGTGCACAGACATAACGTAGAAGAGTAATAGCAGGTAGTGGTGGTGCACGCCTGTGATCCCAGCACTCAGGAGGCAGAGGCAGGTGGATCTCTGGGAGTTTGAGTCCAGCCTGGTCTACAGAGCAAGTTCCAGGACAGCCTAGGTTACACAGAGAAACCCTGTCTTGAAAAACCAATAAATAAATAAATAACCTCCCCAAACCAAAAAACAAACATTTCAAATTTTAAATAATATAAATAAATATTAAAGAAAAAAACATTTTTAAGGGCTGGAGAGATAGATGGCTCAGTGGTTAAGAGTACTGGCTGCTCTTCCAGAGGTCCTGAGTTCATTTCCCAGCAACCACATAGTGGCTCCCAACCATCTATAATGAGATCTGATGCCCTCTTCTGGCCTGCAGGTGTACATACTGGTAGAACATTGTATACATAATAAATAAATCTTAAAATTTTTTAAATAAATAGATAACAAATTATGTAAATTAAAAGGTTAATTACTTCTTTCAATTAAATGATTAAAGTAATCATAGAAGATAATAAAAATGTTAAGCATTTGAGGGACTCCATACAACTGAAAAAATATCTACAAGAGTATTCATAGAAACATTACTCATAGTAGCCAAAATGGAAACAACCTAAATGTCCATCAACTGACAAATAAGCATGAGAGTTTAGAAAGCAGTACAGTATTTATTAGCCATAAAAGGAAATGGAGCTGTTCTGGTTTCACCTCTGTTGCTGTAATAAATACCCTGACAAAAAGCAGCTTGTGGGAGGAAGTTCCCAGCACGGGCTTGGCCTGGTACTGTGTGTCTGTGGTCGAGCACTCAGGAGGAGGTTCGTGAGTTCAAGACTAATCCGGGTCACATAGTAAATTCCAGGACAGTTTAGACTAAACAATGAGACCTGTCTCCAAACAAGCAAGCACTTAACAAATTAAAAGTAAAAGAAATATTAAGGTAAATTGGGGGCTGGAGTGATGGCTCAGCGGGTAAGAGTACTGTCTGCTCTTCTAGAGGTCCTGAGTTCAATTCCCAGCAACCACATGGTGGCTCACAACCGTCTACACTGGGAACTGATGCCCTCTTCTGGCATGTAGGTATAAATGCAGATAGAGCACTCATAGACGTAAAATAAATAAATAAAACCTTAAAAATATAAATTGGAAAAGGCAGTCCACCCAAGCCTCTATACTTAATTGTGGAATGTCTGACAATCCCATTCATCCAATTGTCTTTCTTCCCGGCAGTTGCCTCAGATCTGCAGACATCTGTCTTCCAGTTCACCTGGAACTGATCCCCTTGGTGTGGGAGGCCTCCGCAGACATTCTTTCTCTTGACAGACACCCGGGTCTGGTGGCTTTATTGGCCTGTCCCCATCACCTCCGTCCCTGGGGCAGCCTCAGCCTCTGTGTGGGATGGAGGAAAGCAACGCTGGTTATTTTTCAAAAATTGTATCACCTGATTTTAACGTCTATGACAGGAGAGTGAACACAGGCACCAATCAGTGTGGCGACCTCTACGTTTATTAACAAAACACAGAGGCAACTCAAATATGCCTAAACATCCCCAACTTATTTATTTTCTAGGGGCAAACTAAGAAAGCTCCCCGGCCTTACCCACCCCTGCTGAACTCTTTGCTATCAAAAGATTCTGGGGGAGGGCAAGTTTTCTGCTGAGTACTATTAGTGAGCCCAGCAAGTTCCAATGCATAATTCTAAACCCATGTTTACACAGACAGCCTTGGTTAAACTCTGTGTGTCGCAAAACAAAACAAAAGGCCTGAATGTGAGAAGCTGGAGTTGACAGCAGTCAGGGAAGTCAAGGGTAGGAGTAATTAGACTGCATTGTATACACATATGGAATTATCAAAGAGCAAATTTAATTAATTTTAAAATAATTTGGAAATATTTTCTGGAAGCCGGGCACAGTGGCGCCTGCCTGTAATCCCAGCACTCAAGAAGCAGAGGCAGGCAGATCTCTGTGAGTTCAAGGCCAGCCTGGTCTACAAAGTGAGTCCAGGATAGCAAAGGCTACACAGAGGAAACCCTGTCTCAAAACAAAACAAAATAAACAAATAAATAAAAAAAAACACCAAACAAACTGAAAGCCATTTTTTTGGGTATGTAGCAGCTAAACTGAGTTAGGAATAGGGCTGTATGTGGCAACACAGGAAGATCTATAGAATGTAACATCCAGCAGCTAGAAGAGCACATTAAACAATGATAAACATGGAATAATGTCATTTGACAAACATCATACACACAGTCTTGTTCTGGGAGAACATGTCTGTGTAGGACCCTGAATTAGCACAGAACCCTGCATACCCATCAGACCCTGCCACTGGCAGGGACTCCAATGACCTTTATGTAAACATTCCATATAGAAAATCTATTTACAGATTACATATATAAAAGAAAATATGTCTAAAGGGGAAACGCTAGGGCCAGTGAGATAGTTCAGTGTGTAAAGGCACTTGCTGCAAAAGCCTGAGTTTCATCTCCAAAACCCATCTGAAGGTGTAAGGAAGCAGGCAGCTCTACAATGTTGTCCTCTGGTCTCCAGTTATGAACCCTGGCATGCACGCACCCATTCCCCCCTCTACACATACACACATTGTATGATAATGACGATGATGATGATAATGATGATGAAGAAAATTTAATTTAAAAAAAAAAAAAGGAAAAATAGTCGGACGCTGTGGTGCACCTCTGTAACCCCAGCACAAGATTTTTCTGACTCTTACAATGGGGGTGGATTGCTTCTGTTTTCAGGATATGTGGGCAGGAGAAGGAAACAAGCCACACTCTTCTTCCTCCATCCTTTAGAAGCCTATTCACCAACAACACCATCAGCAAGGGCTATAACCTAAGATGTAGCTGGCATTTGCTATTTTGTGGGTTCTTCTTTCTTCTACCCTTCTCCACCCGTTTTCTTCCACTCTTTCAAACCCCTAATACTAAATAAAAAAATAATAGCGAGGAAAGGGAGCAACATTCCTGTTAGACTATTTCCTATTGACTAGGGGCATCAAGTTCCTTGGGGTGATTTTGATCTTCACCATCAGGATATCTAATTTCTTCTTGTTGTTTTCTCTTTGTGCACAGCTACTTAACAAACCTCCACAAACAGCAACCAACAATCAACCAGCAACCCACCCCACCTCTGAGGCCCTAGCATTTATGTATACTCTGAAAAGTCCTCAGAATTCCACACATCACACAATTGCAGAAACGATCTCCAGTGACAAAAATCACATCCCTGCTAGAGCACAAGGCAAACCACAGTCACCTGCGATTAAAATGAAAACATAGTCCCATAACACTTCTGCGTTTTCTTAAAGATACCAAAATTACAGAATTCTCACTCCCCAGTCATCCCACTGATGGCTCCCTCATGCTGCATGGCTGTTCCTATAGTAGAGCTGAACTGAGACACAGGCCAAGGCAAAGGGAGAGTCCAGGAACTGCCGAGTTGGAGATATGGGGAAACCACAGACAACGGAGCTTCACTCTGGTGTGTCTTCATCTTGGGCTGTTGTAACTCAGGTGCGGCAGTGGATTGGCTTCTGTCCTGAATTTGATGCCCTGCTGAACTTCATGACAGGAAGAGAGATGCTTGTCATGTATGCCCGTATCCGGGGCATCCCTGAGCGACACATTAAAGCCTGTGTAGACCAGGTCCTTGAGGACTTACTCATGCGCTTGTACGCAGACAAGCTAGTAAAGACGTATAGGTGAGCTCTGGGTATCCCTCACCCTTCCCACCTCCGTTTGCAAGATAATCCCAGTCCTTCTCAGTACCTGGCAGTGCAGGCATGGAAGATCCCTGCCATCCATGCTACTGGAGATGGGGGTGGAGAGAGCTGTCCTCTATCCCAAGACAGAGGCAGGCTTTGTGGCTGAGAACAAATATATGTTATCATGTGAGATTATAACAACGAGGTAGATCTTCGTGTCTGCTGCTTCTTGTCAAGCTTTATATTTTGGGTAGGGTAGGTTTTCATATTAAACCCATAGTTACCTCATCCTGATATGTCTCCCAAAGAGTCTGAGGTAGTTTGTCACTGTTGCCAGCAAACCCTAACTCAGATTAGATTAATCAAAGCAAGCTACTGAGAGCCCAAATTCATAGACTCTCCTCCCCTCAGGTTGTACCCTGTGCCATTGTAGATAGGTGCCTGTCAGTACTCCATCTTTGGAAAGTGAAGAGAGGCCTCTGACTCTGTTTGAATGGATTCAGATAGAGTCCTTGCTCCTCCTCCAATCTGTTGGCTTTAGTCTTAGGCAGCTTTTCATATTTCCTTGCCTATTTTGAGGATCAAACAAATTTATATTTAAAAAGATTAGAATGGAAGCTTGCACCCAGTAAATACTATGTGAGTTTAATGGGAGCTGGAAAGATGGCTCAGCAGTTAAGAGTGCTTACTGCTCTCCCAGAGGAACAAGTTTTAGCTCCCAGCACCCCAGAAAGCAGCTCACAACCACTTGTAACTCCAGTTTCTAGATGCTCTGATACCCTCTGGCCTCTATGAGTACCCCCATGCAGGCACAGACACATACACATAAACTTACAAATAAAATAAGAAAATAAATAAATAAAGCCAGTGTGGTACTGTGCACCTGTAATCCCAGTGCTTCTTGAGAGGCCGTGTTGGGAGGATGGAGAATTCAAGGCCAGCTTGGATTCTGCAGCAAGCATCTTGGGAAAAACAGCTGACTAAAATGGCCCTATACCCTTACTCTCAGATGGTGGTGCTCTGCCCCAGCATTCACAGAGGCTCTTGAATCTCATGACCACATGCTCAACCTGGGCATCTAGGGCTGTTTAGACCCTCAGTGGAAAAACCAAGTCACAGTTCAACCTGAGTGAAGATGGCGAGGTTGTTTTGTGAAGCAGCTCAGAGAAGGGAGGAGCTGGGTGCTGAACAAGTAGACGTCAGCACGGGAGATTACAATTACGTTCTCCATGTTCTCACCTTTGTCCCGTCCACCCCCAGCGGTGGTAACAAGCGCAAGCTGAGCACCGGCATTGCCCTCATCGGAGAGCCAGCAGTCATCTTCCTGGATGAACCATCCACTGGCATGGACCCCGTGGCCCGGCGCCTACTCTGGGACACTGTAGCCCAGGCCCGTGAGTCTGGCAAGGCCATTGTCATCACCTCCCACAGGTAGAGCTTGGCCCTCTGGGTCAGTGGAAGACCCAGAATGGGTGGCTGGGGTGGGGCCAGGTGAGAAGATATGGCAGCACCTAACACAGAGTCTGCCAGGACATTTCCCAGGCTCTGCATGTGGTACACTCAGCGTGGGGGACCAGGAATGTCCCGGTCTGGGCAGATACCCTCCTCTCTGCACAAGCCTTTGACATTGAGGGTGGGCATCAGCCTCCTGTCTCAGGCCTCTACCTTTTCCGCAGTATGGAGGAGTGTGAAGCCTTATGTACCCGGCTGGCCATCATGGTACAGGGCCAGTTCAAGTGCCTGGGCAGCCCGCAACACCTCAAGAACAATTTTGGCAGCGGCTACTCCCTGCAGGCCAAGGTCCAGAAGGAATGGCAACAGGAGGTGCTAAAGAAGTTTAAGGCATTTGTGGATCTGACCTTCCTGGGTGAGTGATGGTGCTGGATGGGGCCCAGGCTCCACCTGCCTGGACCTGTTAGCTGCTACACAAGACTGTCCCTATGGATTCTGTGTGCTCAGGCTGCCCTTTCTATAGCCTCTCAGTCCATCCTTAACAGAAACACTATCTGTTTTGTACAGGCAGCACTTTGGAAGATGAGCACCAAGGCCTGGTTCAATACCATCTGCCTGGCCGAAACCTCAGCTGGTCACAGGTGAGTGCTCCTCGCATTTCAGCCACTCTCTAAAGACAGCATTCACGTGTCCTCAGCTAACACCATGGAAGTATGTGTGTAAAAGTCACAAAGCATAATGTACGAGCTGGGAGGAGCCTCAGAGGTTAGCTCCTCCCATCCCCAGATTTCAGAGAACAGGGAGCAGGCCTAGAGAGGAGCCACATGCCCAGGGTCCCCTAGCAAGCCAGAGATGGAGCTGGAAACCTGCCTTCCCGGCACCATTCCTACCACAAGAGCAGACAGCTGAGTCCCACAGTGTTGACTCCTCTGGAGGTGCGCCGCAGCAGCTGAGACCAGAATTTTGTCACAAGCTCTCAGAGGGCGGCCTTCTCTGCACTTTCCCCGCACCACCTGTCCCTGTGTACGCCACATCACCCAGGGGTGGACTTATCTGCAGCAGCTGGTGTCCCTTTTCTACAGGTGTTTGGCATTATGGAACAAGCCAAGAAGGATTACATGTTGGAAGACTACACCATCAACCAGGTCTCTCTGGAGGACATCTTCCTGAGCTTCACCCGCAGCAAGTTCTCCATTAGAGCAACATTCCAGCAAGGGCAAGCTGTCCTATCCAGCTTATCACCCTCTCATGCCAAGCCTATCGCAGTTCAGCCTCCCATGCCTCCTCCCTCTCCACTTTCCTCAGAGCCTGTCCTTCTGTAATAAAGATCCTAAGCATGTTCAGAGGCCTGTCTCTCTTGAGTGATGATTCTAAATCTCATCAGGCTGACAAGTGAGAGTTACCATCACACCTGCCATGGCTGCAAGGATAGCCCGCAGCCCAGTAAGCTAAAAACAGGGATCACCTCAAATTGCATTCATAGGGTGAAGTGGCACAAGTGGTAAGGAGGCCTGGCACAGAACACGGGTGCATGTCAGTGGAACTGCATGCCTCAGAGTTCCATCAGATGGCAGTGGCTCATCAAGGCTGGCTGTAGGAACTTAGTGAGCTAGGAGAGATCACTACAGGAGAGCACATGGAAGAACTGAGAAGTAGATGCCACATTTGAGTACTCTGGAATTAACATTACTTTGGCCAAGTCAAGCTTTCTGGAGAAAAACCAGAAACTGTGAGATTGGGTGGGGTGTATATTTATTCTCCAACTCCAGCCCATCTCCTAAATGATGTTATAGTTACCCCTTGGGGTGGGGGGAATTATACAGTTATATTGAAGGCCCATTAAAGGAAAGCTATCACCAAGCTGAGTGCAGTGGCACATGCCTATAATCCCAGCACTCAGGAGGCAGAGGTGGGTGTATCTCTGTGAGTTCAAGGCAGGCCTGGCCTACAGAGTGAGTCCGAGGACAGCCGAAGGTTACACAGAGAAACCCTGTCTTGAGAAAGAAAGAAAGAAAAAGAAAGAAAGAAAGAAAGAAAGAGAGAGAAAGAAAGAAAGAGAGAAAGAAAGAAGAGAAAGAAAGAAAGAAAAAAAGAAAAAGAAAAAGAAATTATCTCTGAGTGGAAACATGCCATTGTCTCTGTTATGATATCAAATTACACGTGCTGCTACAGATTTATTGAGCCATGGCGGGGGGGGGGGAGCGTAGAAGAAAGAGACAACACAGAGTAGGGAGGGAAACATTCAGAAAGAACAGGGAGAGAGGAGACTAGAGAGAGATGATGGACGAGGTGGGGGCAGAGTGGGGGTGGGGTGGGGGAGGGGTGGCACAGGCAATGACACAGGACAGAGGTGACAGAATACCCTAAGGGCCCCTAAGGGCAGGCCAGGTGAATTGCCTGCACTACAACATAACGGTCTCCTTCCTAAAGAGTTAATTCTGCCCAGGGCACCGTGGCACAGACCTTCAACCCCAGCCCAGCACTTGGGAGGCAGAGGTAGGCTGATCTTTAAATTTGAGGCCAGCCTGGTCTACAGAGCAAGTTCCAGGACAGCCAGAGCTACACAGAGAAACCCTGTCTCAAAACAAAACAAAAGTTAATTCAATTAGACAAGGGTAGGTCGCCTGTGTTGGGATTCAGACCCGGGACAAGCAGCTGAGGTGCCTATTTAATACACCAAATCGGACCTGGCCTCCAGGTTCTCCCAGCACCCCTCAGTCCCTACTGAACTTTCCAGCCCAGGGCCTGGGCTTCCTCTCCCCGAGAGGCTCTTCACTATGTAATCCAGACATTCTGGCTCTCCCTCCTCTCCCCTCTCTCTCTGTGCTTGAGCTTTCTCTTTCTGCCCTCTGCTTATCTGTCTCCCTCAGCATGATGACTTCCCTGGCCCAGTTCCTTAGGACAGGTGAACCCACCCAAGAGCTGCCCCCAATAAACCCACCTTTATATACTTTGTCTTGAATTGGCCGATTTCATCGGTGGAGAATACCTATCAACCTGACCAAGTTGCAACCACCCAGGCAGGCATGGTGCTAGAGCAGCACCTGAGAGCTTATGTCAGATCCATAACCATAAGGCAGAAAGAGAGGTAACTGGAATGGTGTGTCTTTTGAGACCCCAAAGCCCACCTCCAGTGACACACCTCTTTCAACAAGGCCACACCTCCTAATCCTTACCAAAAAGTTCCACCAAATGGAGACCGAGCTTTCAAACATGAGATTGTGGGGGCCATTCTCATTCAAACCACCATGGGAGGAATAATTATTTCTTTAGTGAGATAACAAACTTTTCTTCCTCAGACTATCAGCCCTCTGTGAAGGGCTTAGAGAATCACAGGCATGCAACTTTGTAAGCTAGCTTGATGTTCTCAATCAGAAAAGTATAACCTTTCCTTTTCCCGTCTCTTTTGTAAGCATGCTTTCCCTAACACTTTGCACCTCCTCACGTTGCCCAAGCCCCACGACTCCACTTTTTGCCCCACAGCTGCTTCCTGTGACGTGGATGCCTGCTTTCTGTAGCTTTCTGTCTTGCCTTCTCCGCCTCCCTCCTCTGGGCAGCTTCAGATGTTTACAGCTCGCCTGCTCTGCAGCTTTTCTCTTAAACTGTAATACAATTGTTTGGGAGCTTCAGAAAGAAGACTTAAGGGAAGCACCGCTGTTCCTCACACACCCCGGACCTGCAGGAACAGCCTGGACCTCAAGAGAAGTGCAGGGTCAAGGGAGATGCCAGCACTCAGAGCACAGAGGCTACAGAGACAAAGAGCCCGCACCCAGCCCTCCTCCGTGCATCACTAAGCAGAGTCTGCAAGAGCCAGGGGATCTGAGACGCTCACCTCTTGATTCAGTGCAGACATGCCAGCAATTCATTTCCTAAGCATACTTTCTTCTGTCTTACAATTATTTAATCTCCGCCGTGGCATATATGTCATGATGTCTTTTCTTTCATTTGTATATGGCTCAGTTAGAATTTGAGATTGTTCTATATGTTTTGTTTTGTTTTTTCCACTCAGCCTCTTTACTATCCTTTTTTTGCCCTAACAGGTTTTCTCTACATAGCCCTGGCTCTCCTGAACTATGTTACCCAGGCTGGCCTCAAATTCACAGGATCTGCCTGCCTCTGCCTCTGGCTCCCTTGACGGCTTTTACGATACTTCTACCCACATCTCCTATACTTTCTTAATTCTATGTCTTTCAGCCTTTTCCTTTCATTGTTTTTACTTTTTAATTGTATATTTCTTTTTTTTTTTAAAGATCTATTTATTTATGTATACAGTGTTCTGCCTGCATGTACTCCTGCATGACAGAAGAGGGCACCTGATCTCATTATAGATGATTGTGAACCACCATGTGGTTGCTGGGAATTGAACTCAGGACCTGAGGAAGAACAGACAGTGCCCTTAACCTCTGAGCCATCTCTCCAGCTCTAATGGTAACTTTCTATAGCTTTAATAGTCCCTACAATCTGTGGACTCTAACAATATTCCAACTTCCCCTCCCAGATACTTTACTAACTCAATTTTTTTTTATCTTTTCAAAATCAACCTAATATCCACCCCCTATCCTCACCCACCACACATCCTTCCTTCTTCTAATCTTACTAAAATACCATCCATACAATCCTAGGTGGTTAATGCTCCAGTCACTATTGAAATCCCAAGGGGCATTGCTGTTAATGAGCTCACTGCGCACTTGCACCGTGCTGGTTTCCTCTGGCTGTGTTTGCGCTCACACTTACTCTTCTGCTCAGAGAATAATGTAGAGATTACACCAGGCACTCCGAGCCACTGGACTAATGAACTGATTTCTTAGTTTCCACCACATCAGAGACTCTGGAACAGGGCAAATGTTTCCAGTGGAGGAGTAGAAGTGATATTTTAAAAAGCAACAAAATAACCCCTGCTGCAGAAACACCAGTGCGGTAGCACACTAAACATGAAGAAACAACAGCAACATAACTCATCTCCAGACTACTAATCCTGCACTAATGGCGTCCAGTAATGGTATTCTTTGAACATATAGTTCAAAGAAATCAAAGAAGACAATAAGCTCACAGAGGTCTAGCAAAATGGTTCAGCGCATAGAAAAGTTACCTGAATTGGATCCATGGATCGAGCCCACATGGTAGAAACATAGAACCAATTCTTGAACGTTACACTCTGGCTTCCATGCGCTATGGTGTGCACACACTTGCCCTCACATACATACGTTGCAATGCACGTACACACATCATCATCATTTTTAAAGAAAGAAAATATGCTCCTGACTGGGAACACAAACAGATTAACGACATAAAGTGGTACACGTTATCAATTAGGAATTCAATAAGAAAAAATACTGAAAAGAATCTGAAATGCTGGGAATAAAAACATAAGTCAAATAAAAAGCTCTCTGAAGAAAATTAACTAAGTAAATGTTAGCTAGTTGTTTTTTTTTTTTTGTTTTTTTTTTTTTTTGTCAACTTGATACAAGCTGGGGTTACCTGGGAAGAGAAACCTCAAATGAAAAAAAATGTCTCCATCAACGTCTGCCTGGTACTTTCTGAATTAGAGGTTGCTGTGGGAGGGCCCACCTGCTGTGGGTCATGTCACCCTAGGCACCGACAGCCCTGGCAGTGTAAGAAAGCAGGCTGAGCAAGCTACGGAGAACAAGCCAAGAGGCAGCATCCACCGTGGTCCCGACTTTAGTTCCTGCTCCAGCTTCCTGCTTGAGCTTCATCCCTGACTTCCTTCATGATGGACTGTAACCCGTAAGGCAAGTAAACAAATCCTTTCCTTCTCAAGTTGCTTTTGGTCATAGTCTTTACCACAGCAATAGAAAGCAAACTCAGATGATACATAATGCCCCCTCCTCTAGAAGCTCTGTGGAAACTCATTCCTACAACAGGTCAAAGAGAGGACAAAATATCTGAACTTGAAAACAAGGTCAGATCCAACAAGATCAAAAATACTAATGATGGTGTGAGTAGGAATTCCAGGATACAATTGTAAAATTGTGAAAAAATTTTACAACAATGAAGGAAGGATAAGAGTCTCATTCTTAGGGCACCGAAAACATTTTCAAAAGGATCATAATAAAATTTCTCAGAGGTACAGAAAGGCATTTAAGACACCAACCCAGCAGGAGCTCCCTACCCAAGCAAAGAACCTCCCTTCATCATATTAAAACAGTAAATACAGTGCAAAGAAAGCATACTGAGAGCAGTAAGATAGAAATACCAAAACACATAAAGGCAAGCCCATCATAGTTTTCATAGTTAACAGCAGACTCACTGCCATACATACTGGAGTTCACTGCATGAAATAAGACTCAGTCTGCAATGTGAATTTTCAGCACAGGAGGCTGGGGA